ACAAAGAAGGAAACTGATCCTTTAGAGGGGCACTCCCCACCCAGGTTTGTTCCTAGAATTTTATGGAGTTACCGGAATTCAAATCATACCTGATATTAGGGGAGAAAACTGGTAGCAGGTCATGAATGGCTTTCCAAGGAGAAAACTTATGCTCCAGTCCATGAATACTTGCCACTATTCTAGACCATAGCTTCTCCTTCTCCAAGGGGAATCTCCACAACCACTTTCTCAATAGAGTCATATTCCTTCTCCTAATATTCCCAAGCCCCAAACCACCACATGTCTTACTCCTACAAACTATCTCCCAGCTAACTCTATGATCCCTCTTTTCCTCTCCCGGTTCCCACAGGAAATCTCTCATTAACTTCTCCAATCTATTAGCAACCTTCACTGGGATTTTAAACATCGATAGAAAAAAGATAGGTAAATTAGCAAGCGTGGCCTTAATAAGAGTACTTTTAAGTGTAGGCAGGAATCTCTAGCCTACTGCTTGAATGCTTGTCAATCTTTGTACATATTTGGTTTTTAATTAAAGAAATTTTGTAACAGATCAAAAAATGGAAATCATAAGGTGGTTAAGAGAAGACTGCCTAGTTCCATGGAGTACGAACTAATTGTTTTTGGGGACTGTTGATAACAAACGAGAGGGATAAATGATGTAGGGGATGTTGGGTTATGCTAGTATAAATAGTTTCGTATATACTTTGTATTTTTTTCTTTTCTTTTTTGTTAGAGTTTGTGTATATTTTATAATCTTTTAACTGATTTATTGGCCCCATGGGGCTACACAATGAGGGGTGGCCCATCCCCCAACCGCATAACCCCCAACCCTGGTGCAAGCAGGATAGATCCCAAGTCTCTGCTACAACCATCCGTAGACCTTACCAACTAGCCAGTTGGCACCTTGCATATACTTTGCACTCTTTTCACATCAAATAAAATTTGTTTTACTTAATAATCCGAACAAGAAAAGAATGGTGAGAAGAGGAATTTTATGAAGTGACATCTCGTTGACCTTTGAATGGGTTCCTAGAAAGGTTGCTATTTATTTTGGAGGGATAGAAGTGATGGTTATGGGTTATATGGGGAAAGGTTGCTATTCATTTTCATGTTGTTCTTTCTCTCTTATATCTGCTGTAAGAGAAGAAAAGGGTATTGTAGTCATTTCAGCCTTAGTAGAATGTTAATACAACCTGGGTCGACAGTAAGGAGAAGAGAACAGATTTCTCCTTTCTTGTTTTCCCTCTTTTCTTCTCTTATTCTTCTCTTTTCCTTCCCTTTCTCTTCCTATCTTCTTCTCTTTCTTCTATCCTTTTCTTCGCTTTTTCATTACTTTATTAAAGTTGGAACATGGCATCAAAGCCTTGAGGTCGACTGTACTGTTCGCGGCACTGTTCACGTCCCAACTTTTTGTGCCCTAGGAATAGAGAATATTCTCTATTCTTTGTTGGAAAGGAAAAGGACTTAAGAGGACTGATCGCCCACTTAGAAAAGAGGCTTTAATGCCTCAAGTTGCGGTGTTGTGTGAGTTGGTGGTGTTTTTCTAAAAGCCCTCTATTCGGAAGTTCGAAGAGGGCAGCTTTGTGATGTTTTGAGTTGTGAGGTAGGTGCTCCTCATTGTGGTGATTTTGTAGTGGTTTGTGTTGTGGTGATACCTTGTGGTAAGTATGCAATCTTTCCCAAGTGTTTCTAAAGTAGAGGGCTGATGATTCTTGGTCTTTTTCCTAAAGAAAAAGGTGTGTTACAGTAGTTGTATACTAGCTGTTTGACAGTTTGCCTAGGTGACAAATCAGTGATCTCCTCTCACTCATGGCTTCATCAAATGGTAGCACTAAACCTACAGTAGTTGTGCAATTGGATTTCATGACTTCTCAATTAACTACGGTGAAACTCAATGGTACTAATTATATCCCATGGGCCAAGTCGGTTGAGGTACCTCTCATTGCAAGAGACAAGTTGAAGTACATTAAGGAGGGTCCATTGAAAAGTGAATTAGAAGGGTACAATGAATGGGTACAAGAGAATTCCTAAATTATGACATCACTTTGGAATAGTATGGAAAATCACATTATTGTAAACCTTATGTTTCTAGACACAGCCAAGGAGATTTAGGACCATGCCAAGCAATTGTACTCTGGACAAGACAATGTTACAAGAATTTACCAGTTGTACCAAGACAATTTTTCTCTTTAACAAGGAGATAAAAGTGTTGAAGAATACTATGCTTCTTTAAAATGTGCGGCCTAAATCTTAGGGAGTAGTGATCTTCCATCCTTGTCTGAGGTTTTCTCTCGCATAAGGAGAGCCTCAAATCCACAGTGATCATCCCCCACCTTCAGAGAGATCAGCCATGGTGGTTTCCAGAGGAGGTTTTCCTAGTAAGACATATGCGTAGTAGAGGTGGAGGAAATGTGAGGGGTTTTGTTTGTGGGATTAGAGGTGCACAAGGAGGGCGTAGAGAGTTTGGTGGTGCAAGGGGTGGTAGTGGTCGTAGTGGCAGTGACCGTGGTTCAGCCTGTGAGTGCTCACATTGTGGACGGGAAGGTCACACAGTCAACTTTCGTTATGACCTTCATGGCCCTCCATCCTCCTGGACTAACCAAGCAATGGTGGAAGGTGATTTTGGGAGTCTTAGTGTGACTGAAGATGCTCCTACTTCCAATGTTGGTAAGGATAAAGACACAATTTCTATCTCACGTAAGGAATAGGAAAAGCTTCGCCAATCTGCCTCTTCTAGTTCTGCCACTGCTACACTTGTGAAGTCAAGTACTGCTTGTCTTGCTTCTAGTTCTTCACCTTCACCTTGGGTAATTGATTTTGAAGTGTCAAACCACATGACTGGCTCCTCAGATATGTTTGTATCCTTGTCACCACCTTCTACCTCTCAAACCGTTACCTTAGCTGATGGTTCTTCTTCTGCTATTACTGGTACCGGTAATGTCTCTCTTGGTTTTGGCCTTAGTTTACACTCGATTTTTTATGTTCCTAAGTTTCCCTTTAGTCTCTTCTCTGTAAGCAAGCTTGCTCACACCCATCATTGTTTAGTAACATTTTATCCTTCATATTGTGTCTTTTAGAATCTCAAGAAGGGGAAGATGATTGGTGGTGGTCATGAAGTTAGAGGACTATACTACTTGGATGACCATGGTCCTCAGAAGGCTCTTCATTCCTCTCTTACACCACATCAATGGCATTGTCGTCTTGGTCATCCTTCTCTGCGTGTTTTGAAAAAGCAAGTCCCAACCTTGGAGTCTGTAATTCAGCTAGATTGTGAGTTATGTTAGTTGAGTAAACATCATAGAGTGTCTTTTGTTCTTAGGGATGATAAGAGAGTTCTGAGTCCTTTTGCTTTAGTCCACTTAGATGTTTGGGATCCTAGTTGTGTGTCACCTTATAATAGATTCAGATATTTTGTAACATCTATTGATGACTATTCAAGAATGACATGGATTTACTTAATGAAGGATCGTTCAGAATTGTTCTCTATTTTTCTATCTTTTCATGCTAAGATAAGGAATCAATTTGGTGTGTGCACTAAAGCGTTTCGTTCAAATAATGCCAAGGAATACTTTCATAATAATTTTTAGTCTTATTTTGACTCTCATGGTATTATACATCAGTCCTCATGTTCATACACTCCTCAACAAAATGGTGTGGCTGAGAGAAAAAAATCGCCATGTGATTGAAACTATTCAGGCCTTGTTGATTCAAATGTCAGTTCCTAAAATCTATTGGAGTGATGCAGTTCTCACCTCTTGTTTTCTCATAAACCGTATGCCTTCTTCAGTCCTAGATGGCGAGTCACCTTTCTCTATCTTGTTTCCTTCCACCTCACATTTCTCTCTTCCTCTTTGTGTGTTTTGTTGTATGTGTTTTGTTCACAAATTGGGTGTAGGCCATGATAAACTTGACTCCAGAGCTATTAGATGTGTTTTTCTTGGTTACTCTCGTACTTGAAAAGGTTATAAATGCTATGATCCTATTTTATGGAAAGCTTTTGTTGCTCCGAATGTTACCTTCTTTGAGAGTTTACCCTATTTCTCTAGACGTGAACCTTCTCCTTCTATTCCTCTTCCCTTAGAATTTGGTGATGTCTTTATTCCCTTGCCTACTATGGAGGAGCCTATTCAATCATCTACTCACAGAGTGTACTTTAGACGTGATAGACAACCAGAATTGTCGCCAGTAGTTGATCCAACTCCTTTGATCTTCCTATTGCCCTTCTTAAAGGTAAGCATACTTGCACAGATCACCCCCTTTCTCGGTATGTCTCCTTTGCTCACTTGTCTCCTTCACATCAACGTTTCATTTCCCTTCTATCCTTTGTTTCTCTACCGTGTTCTCTACAGGAAGCCCTCTCATCTCCTAACTGGAAGAAGGCGATGGATGAGAATTTCATGCTCTTTAGTTCAATAATACTTAGGATCTCACTTCCTTACCACCTGGGAAGCAGGCCGTTGGTTGTCGATGGGTATATACAATTAAACACCGTCAAGATGGCAATATTGAGTGGTTTAAAGCTCGACTTGTTGCAAAGGGGTAAACTTAGACCTATGGTGTGGACTATTCAAAAACCTTCTCTCTTGTGGCTAAAATAGGTTTTGTACGAGTGCTCATTTCTTTAGTTGCCTCCCTTGCTTGGCCCCTATTTCAGCTTGATGTCAAAAAGGTGTTTCTCCATGGTGATCTTCAAGAGGAGGTATATATGGAGCATCTCCTGGGTATATTGCTCAGGGGGAGTCAGGAAAGGTGTGTCGATTGAAGAAGGCTATCTATGGGCTGAAGTAATCACAGTCGGCATGGTTCGGTCATTTTAGTAGTGTGGTGCAAGATTTTGGCTTGAAACAATGTAGTGTTGATCACTTTGTGTTTAGTAGAGACTCATCATCTGGGAAGATCATTCTAGCAATGTATGTTGATGATATTGTTCTCACTAACAATGATACATGCAGAATCCAACAACACTTTCAAACTAAAGATCTAGGAACCTTGAAGTACTTTCTTGGAATTGAGGTAGCTCGATCGAAGTGGGGAATCTCTCTGTCACAAAGAAAGTATGTTTTAGATATGTTGGATGAAACTGGGTTGTTAGGATCCAAGCCAGTTCAAACTCCCATGGATCCCAATGTGAAGATGACTAATAGTCAAGGGGAGCCATTAGAAGACCCTACAAAGTATTGAAGACTAGTAGGCAAGTTGATCTATCTTACCATCACTAGGCTTGACATTTCCTTTAGTGTTGGAGTCCTCAATCAATTCATGCAGAATCCAACAATTGATCATTGGGATGGTGTTATGAGGGTGCTGAAGTATCTAAAGGGTGCTCATGGTCGAGGGCGTTTGTATAAGAAAGGGGGAGATATGTCTCTGGTAGGGTACTCAGATGCAAATTGGGCAGGGTCTCTGATGGACAGGAAGTCTACTACAGGCTATTGTACTTTCTTGTGAGGAAATCTCATTACTTGGAAGAGCAAGAAGCAGAACGCAATTGCTAGGAGTAGCACTGAAGTTGAATATAGGGCAATAGCCCATGCTACCTGTGAGCTAGTTTGGTTGAAGGATCTTCTTCGGGAGATGAATATCACAATTTGTCAACCCATTAAATTGTTTTGTGACAACCAAGTTGCAACACATATTGCCTCTAACCCAGCGTTTCATGAAAGGACTAAACACATTGAAGTTGATTGCCATTTCGTCAGAGAGAAAGTGACAAGTGGAGAGGTTGTTACACCTTATGTTAAATCTGAAGACCAAGTAGCTGATATTTTTACTAAAAGTGGGGGTCGCTCAAGGATGGACTATATACGTAACAAGCTGGAACTTTATGATATATATCCTCCAGCTTGAGGGGGAGTGTCAGAATTGTTAGAAGTAGTTAACAGGGGCAGTATTGTCATTTTCATGTTATTCTTTCTCTCTTATATCTGCTGTAAATTTTCTAAGGGTATTGTAGTCATTTCAGCCTTAGTAGAATGTTAATACAACCTGGGTCAACAGTAAGGAGAAGAGAACAGATTTCTCCTTTCTTGTCTTCCCTCTTTTCTTCTCCTATTCTTCTTTCCCTTTCCTTTCTCTTCCTATCTTCTTCTCTTTCTTTCTTCTATCCTTTTCTTCACTTTTTCCTTTATTGAAGTTGGAACAATTTCATAGTTAAACAACAAAAATTTTTAAGTAAAACTGTAGCAAAATTCAGGCACATCTCTAATATTTTCTATTAATCATATTAAAGAAAAATAACTGTGATGAACAAGACTTGTTTTTATTGATGATGGAAATGAAATACAAAATATAGAACCAACCCAAAAATCAAATTGTTTACTTCTTTGGTAGCAAATCAACAATTCAACCTTTTGGGTCAAATGCGTTAACAATCGATGTCATAAGCTCATAGATAAATTATAAGAATTGGAAAAGATAAAAACACAAAAAATTATAAAAAAACATAAATTTTATAGAAACCATTTGGGCACATCTCTAATATTTTATATTAATCAAGCCAAACAAAAATAAGTGTAATAAATAAGAATGTTTTTCTTGACGATGGAAATGAAATACAAAATTTAAAAGCAACCCCAAAAATGAAATTGTTTTACTGTTTGGTGGCACAAGTGCATAATAAAATATTAAAATATTAAAATATTAAAATACTATGAAAAAATACTGAAATTTGGTAGAAAACATTTGGGCACATCTTTAATATTATAACATATATTCATCATATTAAACAAAAATGTGTAATAAAAAAGAATTATTTTTATACACAGAAATACAAAAATATGAAAAAATTGGACACGTTATCACTATTGTTATCATTATTATCTAAAATTACCACGTGCAAAGATGTGCACATTCACTAGTATAATGAAAGGAAAGCTTGCATTGTTGCAAACAGGGAGACAAAGTAGAAGCCAGTGGGAAAATAGCAACAGGATTAGAGCTTCGGTTCTGGTTCAAAAATTCTCAAGCATCTTATCAATGGCTGGCAAGGACACTAGTGGGAGGACAACCACCAAGGCTGTGGTTGGAGCCTTGGAGGTGAGAAAAGAGAAACTTGTCTAGGGTTTTCAGTCTTACTTTCAAAAAATTTAACACAAAAAAGAAATAACCAGGTTAAGTTTCACACAGTGGGCTGATAGGCATGTTTGAAGGACAGATGTCACACACTAATTATGTGCACAGCTAGAGTTTCTAGAAAATATGCCTGCTAGATCCAGATTCACCAATAGATCCCTTCTGTATGATGACTTGACCCTTGTTAACATAAAAAAGCAAAAATCTTTCTACGACACATGCAACACATAGCTGAGTTAGAAACCTAAGACTTGAGCCAATAAACATACTTATATTCCAGAATAATAAATAGCATAATATCATTTAACAACACCTATTTGAGAGAAATATTACCAGATGATGAGGTAACAATGCAAAACGTAATTCTGAAGATAATGATCCCCTACCTCAAACATTACAAGAGTGGGTTCTATTACTTGCTCAGCAACTGAAGCATTAGCAGCTGATGTTCCTAGATCCTCACTAAAGCCTGTATTTTCCAAGCTTCTTTCCTCCTTGGACTTTTCTTCTCCAAGTTTATGTATTGAACAGTCAGATATGATTATGCCATTAGCAGATGAATCCTCTTCCACTCTTCGTTTTTTTGTTTTAACAGAAAGTTCTTCCTGAAAATGTGGCTCCTCTGTAGCATGGCCATAATTAGTTTCCATGCTAGTACAGCCATCTGCCCACTCTTTATTGTTACCTTGATTTACATGTTCTATAATACCAACTTCATTGGTAGTTGATTCAGCTGTTTCGAATGCCAAGTCATTTGTTCCACCATTGACACTTGAAAGTAGTAGCGATCCAGGAGGCAATGCAGCTTTTGCTGTCCATAAACCAGGACTGTCTTCACGAGTATAAATTTGAGGGGGCGCATACCATTCATGGCAGTCAACTGTCACCAGGACAGACTGCAGTAGCAGTACAAAAGCATCAGATATGTTCCATGGTAATTATGTCATGTAATGTAAACATCAAAATAGATCATATACATGTACATGCAATACATGTACCTACAGAAGCGGGGGGAGCCATCAAAATAACATATAGAACGCCTAAGTGACAGTTACATAAAACAAAGTGTAATAACTGGTTTGCCACAACATCCTGGATGTTAGACATCTTGACATCAACACGATTCCTTACAATTCCTTATGTAACACAAATTGGGAATTCACACATTACTTATCTCCTGCGTTATGCATCTGAGTGTGGAGTCACTTCCTATCATTTTTGGGGTTATATGGTAGCTGCCTACAAGTTTGCAACCATTGCAAATTTATCAGAGCCAGCCTTCCTCTCCCAACCATCTTAACATCAAAGAGGGAAGACCATATGCAGTGATCCCACTGACGAGAAGAGAAGAGAGGAATGCTAGATAGCTTTTAGGAAAAGCAACCCCACAAATTTGTTTTCTTCTCTTTGATTAGTTTGAAGATAGAATGGCCCACTGGGTACAATGTAGAGAGAAGCTTGGGGCTTCCCTATTGATGACATTATCAGAAGGTGGACCATGTAGCACCCTCATATCTGATTGGGGGCAGATGGTTCAGATGACTTCACCCCCCTCTTCCCCAGGGAGTAGTTAAGTACAACTTCAATCTCTGCTATCTGCTGGCTTAGAATCTAGGGCCTTACAGAGTTGGAGTTCTTGATGGGGGTTATTTTTGTTGTATTTTCAGGTCCTATTGGTAATGAAATTCCATCTATGGTGATATTTTGGAATAAGGGATTAGTGAACATCTGCTTCATATGGGGGCAACTCTTTCACAGACATTTTTGGCTACTGAAGGAATGAGGGATGCCTTGGAGATTAGGTGCAGTTGTGTAGAATGCTCCTTTTTCATATATTTAGGATTTAGCATGTACTCTTCCACTATATAGTTTCTTGCCTTCTGTAATTTCCATTTATTCTTTCTTTTTACTTTCTTTGCTCAGTTTTTGTAAGGTCTGGATGCTCTGTGATAAGGAAGGAAAACCTGCTCTTCTCATGCATTGTATTCGCCTATTCTGCACTCTATAAAGCTTTCTGTTTTCAATAAAAAAGTCAAGACATGTTGTGAATTATAATATTGGGCCCATTATATCCATAATTATGTACTCTTGGAAAAAATTGGCCCAAAAAATTACCCTAACAGAGAAAGCAGTGAACCTTCAATATGCTCTTGTTAAATCATTACTTTTAAAAGCTAAAACCATAAAGGATGATACTTTTCATCACTTGAAGATTTTTCCATAAAATGCTTTTATAAACTGTAGAACTTCATAATCTTTGTATGACGAAGAATAACTTCTGCAACTTCATATGACCCAGATGTATCTTCGAGATTTCATTAATCATGAAAAAAAAAGAAAAAAACTGCACGTTATAAGGGAAAAGAGATATGAAAAAGAGCTGAATTTATACAAATGCTGACTGCTGACTGATGAGTGGAAGGTTTGGCTAATAGAATATTGGAAATCCTGGAGATTTGGCTAATAGAATCAACTTTGAAGAATCATGAAGGTGAGCTCTTGGTTCTCTATTCTTGATGCAGACAGTTTTCAGTAATTCTATGGCAAAATTATTAAGCTTAAATTATTATATTCTGACCATTGGTTTAGGATGGAATTATTACATTTTAAAGTTAAAAATTTCAGAAGAGACCCTCCAAATCTCAAGCTAAGAAGATTACAGGAAGTCTTTCTTCAAGGGAGATTATCGTTGCTGGATTTCTGGGATTGTCAACACTTGGTCAAAGTCAAAGTCAAATATTTGACCAATGGACCCCACATCTAGGCTCTTCCCAGCATAGATTGTAGTCAAGTTTCTTGTCAATTGGATCAGTGGTTAGTGATTTATAGTAGTTGTTTCAGTTGGGGAAATTTAAGGCATGTTTGGTCTTTATTATTTGTTTTGTCAAATTGAGGGCACTTTAGGGAATTAAATTGACAGTTTAATTGGTATTTTGCAGGGTTTTAGGAGACCATAAGACTCCTAAAAATGTTTACACCACTGTTCACATATTATTGTTCAAGTGTTTCTATTTTCAGCAATAAAATAATTGAACTTCTCCTACTGTTCTCTCTAGTTGGCTGCTACTGAGAACTGATTTCTCTGCTCTCAATCTACTTAGATTGATTGCTGTAAGAAATCTTCACTTCCCATTATTTATGTGCTAGCTCAAAATTATTATTTGCTCCTACCATTGGCAAGGGAAACTCAACCCATCTTCATTATCCCTACTAGGATTGAAGTTGGCTTGTCCTTTTGAGTTTGAAAATCAGAAATGTAAGGGGACTCTAAAGTTGTGATTGAGTGGACGAGGAGAAAACTCAGTCCTATTGTTGCATCTCACCAAATTATTATCCCCACTATGAGGACTGAGATTGGAAGGTTTTTTGGGGTTTGACAGGTTGAAAACTAAGGGGATCTCTAAAGTTGTGATTGGGTGGATAAGGGGACAACTCAGTCGGTCAGTCCCATTGCTGCATCTTCTTCCCATTAGGGAGCAATGGTCTTTGGCATCAAACATGAACACCTCTTAGATGGAAACAAAAGTCTGCTAACTCTAGCAGTTTCATTAGCTTTATTTATTTTGTGGGAGGGGGGTAGCTAGAGTGTTTGGTGTTGTATCAGTGGCTTATGTTGCCAAGTGCCAACTTGTGTAAGAGGCTGGTCCCAGCTTAGCTAAATTTGCATCTATTTTATCCAGTCTCTTTGCTTTCATTATTAAGGTCTCTTTATCTGTTATCCACAAAAAAAGGAAAGAAATTAAAGTGAATTTGGTAGCATTTAGAAAGGTAATAATGATGTATAAGCACCACGTACCTTGCTACGATGGCGATCCATGTAGCTTATATATTCCAAAGGCACCCGGGCACCCCTAGAAAGCTTAGAGAGAACTAATATAAAATCATCAAGTTGAGATATCTCTTCTCCTGCAAACTTCTTTATTATGGCATGTCGAGGAACTCCTGCTCTGGAGAGCATATATCTGCAATTTGTAGGTAATCCAATCCATTGGCTAATGAATACTTAAATTCATAGCAAAACTTTTCTTTATTGATTACATCCATTGAGCGCATTAACCAATAAAACAAACATAAATAGTGGTAGGTGGCCAGTTGGGCTAACCACTAGGAACCAAATATTATCCTAACATAAAATCCAAGATTGCATCCACTTTTGCACTCTAAACCATGTGGTAGACATATTGGATAACTAAGGCACATCTATGGTTCAATGCTCATAGCTACATATGTGTGGTAGAAATAACCAAAGAAAGAACCACATAAAAAGTGCAGCTGGTGTTCCTGGATCCAGCCATCCCAATACAATGTATGTAGGTGGGGCTTGTTCTGACCTTGGCCCAGCCAAACCTGAAAACACTTAGAAAAACTGAACATATAATCTAATATCTAACTGTGCTGACGAAGGATGTTGAAGATCAAAGATTTTTTACTACTTGAATAAATGAGAATCACAGGGAAATCAAGGAAATGAAGGTGACAATGGTTTTGTAAGTTGGAGCCTTGGAAGTGAGGTCATTGCTTGGTTTAAGGATTGTATAGATGATGCAGCTTCAGCTCATAGGAAGTTCATATGAAAAAGCTTGAAGACAGAATGTGGAAGAGAAATGAGAAGGGCTATTTCATTGCTCTCTAAAAGCATTTCGGCAACCGGAGAAAATAGCTAACATGTTTTCCTCAAAGACAAAGGAAGTAAAGGATGGAAGGAGGTCTTCAGGCTTTTTGCAAGAGTTTCTTGAACATATGAAGGAATGGGTAGTGGAGACTAGAGGTGCAAATGGATCGGACCATGATCCAATCCGATATCTGATCCTATTTTGTCAGATTCGGATATCCCCGATTGGTTTTTTGGATTAGATCAAATAATAGGATCCGATTTTGGGGTGCAAATGGATCGGATCATGATTCAATCCAATCTGATATCTGATCCTATTTTGTCATATTCAGATATCCCCTATCGGGTTTTTGGATTAGATCGAATAATAGGATCCGATTAAAAATCAGATCAAATTAGGATCACCCCATTCAATCCAATCATTTATATTCTATTTTTGTAATATTTTATATTATTTATGTTTCTATAAAAAACATGTATATATATGATGAAAATAGTTGAAAAAATACTTGTATTTTTTGTTTTGCTTTATATCAACTGTTATTTTTTCCTCTTAATAATTTAATAAAATTTTCAGAAATTAAATCAGATCGGATCAAATTCAGATATCTGACATTCTTAACGGACTTGGATTTGAATCGATCTTTGCGAGATCGGATCGGATCTACGATTTATATTATTGGATCAGATTCAGATATAACCCAATTCGAATCTGATCCGATCCATTTGAATCCCTGGTGGAGCCCAGAAAGAGGGTAGAAGATCAAATGAGAAGAACTGTCAAGGACGAAGTCCTACTGGAATTACTGACAGTGGCGAAATCCAAAGGGAGATGTACAATGGCTGTTAATACTGGGAAGATTGAGAGCAGAATCTGGTTATTGATATGCAAAAAGAAGCCTGATTGTTAGATCTTTGAGCACTACAAATACAGCTTTATTGGGGAAATGGCTGTGGCGCTATGGTAATGAGAGGGAAGCTTTGTGGAGGATGCTGATCCATGATAAATATGGGGATGCAGCATTAGGATGGGAAACTGCAGCTGTCCAAATTTCCTAGGCACTGGTGTTTGGAAGGGCATAATGAAGATTAAAGAAGCTTTCTCCCAATTCATCTCATTCAAACCAGGGCAGGGGGACCAGGTGAAATTTTGGCTTGACGTCTGGTGTGGCCCAAGACCTTTAAGTCTGCTTTGCCCCCAAATTTTCAATGCAGCTGTGGACAAGAATGCCTTGATTAGGGATTATATCAAAATCATAGGGGAGCAGGTCATTTGGGCAGATAAAACTTGGAAGGAATATACATGACTGGGATGAAGAAAAGCTGCTGGTTTTGCTGGGTGAGTTGCAACAATTTCCAATCCAGATGATTGACTGCTGAACCCTATTGGAAGTGGATTTGGAGAGTGGGTCTCCCATCTAAAATCACCTTTTTTTCTGTAGACAGTTATTCTAGACAGAATTCTAACTACAGATCATTTGATTTTGAGAGGTATGGCTGTAGATAACTGGTGTAGCTTATGCAGTCAACTGGAAGAGTTGGTCCATCATTTGCTTATCCACTGTACAGGAATCTACGGTATCTGGATACATTTTTTGAAGTGATGCACCTGGTATCTAGGCAAGGTGCATATCCTTAAATGTGCCTAGGCACGCCTGAGGGTGGTGATTTGTGGCAAAGTGATTTGACCAAGCAGGCGAGCACATTAAATGAAAGCATAGACACAAGGAATACAAGAGGACATATGAAGCAGGAGGTTTAGACCAGGCCAATCAGGTCAAACCGGCATGACAAGTTGGAGAGCATGACTACCTTAAAGGTCATATGGAGTGGACAAGGGGTGGGCTAGTGACTGATGAAAGCCCACTCTAAATTTTTAAGCCTGTCGAAGGGGGGCACATGACTCACTTAAGTGAGCACATGACTGGTGTTTGGCAAGCAACCAGATCTGATTATAGGGGTCAGATGGGAGAGTTAGAAGAGGACATTGAGGTTCTGAAAAAGAATGATGCAAGTAAAGAAGGAAAGGAAGGGATTGGGATCATGAATCTAGAGTCGTGATTGAAGATTTCAATCGTGACAACTGACAACTGACAAGGATAAGAAGCTATGATTTGAAGATTCGACTCCAGTGTTACAAGCTTCTTCCCATGGAAGACAAAGGGGAGTTGATAGGGGGAAAACTAGTTGAAGAAAAGAAGAGACACAGACGACAGTTGAAGAAGGGAATTTGGGCAAATCAACTAAGGAGACAAGTCTAGAGAGGGATCCAAGAGAATTAGACTACGTTCAAGAAACAGTACAGGAGGTTAATTTTGTTGAAAAAAGGGAGGTCTTTCAAGAAATATTTAGAATTTCATTTGGAGGGTGTAGGGCTTGGGAGGGTTGGGAAGGCAAAGAAAGAAGGAACTCAAAAAAGTTTAAAAGACATAGCTAGTTCTGAAGTATAGAACAGGAAGAGGAACTTTAGACCAGGCCTCCAATAGAAAAGGAGGATAAAAGAGTGGCAGATGAATTGTGTGTGGACACTGGGGTTTGTTCAAGTGAAGATGAATCTGATCAAGCAGATGAAATAAAGATGGATAAAACTCGCCTGATTAATAAACAATTGATTTGGAAAATGTGGTGGAAACAGATATTGAGGTCAGTAAGTTGTTGGGTTTGCTCGCCCTGGGAGGAGAGGAGGCTACTAGGAAAATTTTCAAATAGTTGGAAGAGAGATAGCCAATGAAAACAAATTAAGGAGATGAGGAATGTAGTATTAGCCTTCAAGTCAGAGAAATTATATACTCTAGACTAGCAGGTGAGAAGATTTGTCCAGATGAAGAAGAGGGTGAGACGGCTGCAAATGAAATGTTTGAGAAGAATGCAGTAAAAAGATTCAAAAGTTGGAAGGATCATCATACTCAGTGTTGAGAAAACGGGTAAATTCTACCCAGAACCGAGTGGAACCAACCTCGAACCGGCCTTGAACTGACCCTACCCAATCCATCACATGATAGGGTCTGATTCCAAATTCTTGGAACCGGCCCCCACCCAGGCCAGTTCCAAGGTCTAAGGGTTTACCCTACCCGAACAGACCCAATAACCTAGCCTTAGTTGGCCTTGATGGAACCTATCTTGTGGAACCGGCCTTGGAACCAAACTTTCCTTAAAACAAACTCCAAGGCCTTGGAACCGACCTTAGACCTGCTAAGGCCAGAACCGACCCTGAAACCAGCCCCAACAGGGTAGGTTCCAGGTTCTTCCATGGAACCAAACCGAACCGACCCATGCTCACCCCGTAGGAAGGTAAAATGGTCAAGAAGAACGGAAGTGGAGCAAAGTAGTTATGGAACAATCTGTGGGGGAAGCAGGCATTTTGGATTGAGTTGGTCCATCCTTTTTTTGGTTTGGGGAGATCCAAAGTTGCATTTGGGAGGATTCAAAGCAAGAAATGAAGAAAGGACATCAGATGCCAGACCTACAGAATGCATTGCCAGCCAAAAAAGAAGTGACTTTGACCAGTCAAACATTGATTGATTTGGCTGAAATTTAGTGGGAACAAATTACACTTATAGTGCTTTAGTAAGGCCTCTAGTTGGCTATTTTTTAGCTTTTGCAGGTTATGGTCAAAGTTAAAATGAATGGCTTGACCATTGGACCCCACTAGCTGTATCATTTTTTTATCAGCACCCCACCAGCTGTATCATCCACAATAGTAATAGTTTTTTGTGTCAAGTTTGGTCAATGTTGCTTTAGTAATTAGAGAGTTTAGTTTCAATTTACTACGAACATGCCATGATACCAGTTAATACTCAAGGTTATTCAATTAGTTAGTTTTAATATTATTCTAAAATAGTGACATTAGTTTTAATATTATCTTTGTATTTAGTTAGTTTCAGTAGAATTAAAAGAGTTATAAATTTGTCCTACTTTGAAATAGGAGGTTTTTTTGGACCATTTCTTGATTTGCATGTGTCACCTTTGCACAGAGTCCTGCTAAAATTTTCTATATAAATTCCAATTTTATCAGATATCTCCAAAGTTTATATTAAAATCTAAATACAAGTAGGAAATTGTTGCTTTTATATTTTATGGGTAGGTCTCATAAAGACAACATTCATTCTAGTTTTTCTGCCAAGACATGAATATCATTAGTGTCTTCTTTTCTCCATTTCTACTAAGCCAACAGTTATAGTAGAGATTATTCTTGCATCCTCTTTGACTTGAGACTAATTCATATCCTCCATTTTGCCAGTGAATCTTTCAACTTGAGACTGGTCATAGAAGGACCTTACCCAACGAGATGGGTCAAAAATATGGAATCGTGGTGAGAAGAGACCCAGAAGATCAGGTTGGGTTCTGGCAATGATGGAGGAAAGACGAATAGTCAAACAGAAGAGGAAGGGAATGAGGTTGTAGACGAGGGTATTTTAGGAAGCAAAAATATTTATGGTTCAGTTGGGGTCTTTACCTTGGGCTGCATAATGGACAGTGAAAGTAGAGTTCCAAAGAGAAATAAAAGTGGTGGAGCCCATGCGAACTTAAGTGGTGAGGCGAATCGGCTGGGACATGTGTAAGTAGAAAGAAAGGAGAGAAATGGGGAGATGAAAGAAAAGGAAAAAGTTGAATTTCAGAAGACAGAGAGATGACACGGGCAGGAAAAGAAGGCGAAGGTTCGATTGTGGACCAAGCTTTGAAGACAATCATCAATAATGCTGGAGAGTTCTCTACGAAGCATCATTTCAAATTAAGGGTTTCGAACAAGAGAAAGTTCAAGTGATCTCAAAGTTTTAGGTGCACATTTGAGTTTGAAAACTCTGGGAAGAGGCTTTGGAGTCTGAGAGCCAAGATGGCTCATGAAGTATTTCAGAAGAGTGACCAATGTGGAAGATTCGTTGAACCTCTTAATCTAAGAGAACACTGCGATGAAAGGAAAAAGGAGAAGACAAGTCCTAATCAACAAGCAGGTAAGTTTATCTCTTTTGGTGAATTTGTAGTCGAGCTTTCTTCCTTTTCGTCACAGACATGGAATCTGGAGGAGGTTCAAGTGGTTATTTGTTCAGAAGGCTATAAGGAAGGAAGGGGGGTGGTTTCTGGGGAAGTAGTGAAGGAGTTAGTGAGGTGGGAAGGGGAGGACAAGGAAGAAAAGTTAGGTAGGGCTGGCTGTGGAGGGAATGATGCTAAGAGTGTTCCTACTGAACACGGCGATGAGGTTGTGAAAGAGGCTTTTGACAAGAATGACAAAACTGACTCATCTCTAGACTGTGAGGATTATCAAAAGTTTGAAATTTCAGCTGGTAGGATTGGAGTACATCTAGGGTGGAGAAGAACTGTAAACAAGGAGGGTGCCTTAGGACCTATATGAGCGAAAAAGGCTAGAGAAACAAGCAAGTGGTGCCATGTCCATGTGTCTAAGGTCTTCTCGAGGCTAAAAGATGGTTCGATTGGGGTAGGTCCTTCTAACAAATATAAGAGTGTACAGAAGGAAGAGATTAAAAGGCTTAGATGCAAAGAAAAAGGGTGATGAAAGGAGGGAGGAGGAGCTTCAAGTTGTCATAGGGGAGATAGTCAACCCTGACAAAAGAAGGGTTGGAGGTTAGACCAGGGTCAGGGGATAAGAAGGAAGAGGGAGGTCAAGCTGGTGAAAGTAGCCTTACTTTGTCTCAACAAGCTGACAAGGAGGGGGAGAAAGTGGAGATTAAGACCTTGGTGGACAGGGAGATTAGAATTGGCAAGAGTTTAGGGCTATTCTTTTTGGGAAGGCTTAGAGTTCGTTACAAGAGCTTTTGAAAAATTTGAAATGAGTAAAAGGGAAGAGAAATTGAAGAAGATTCTGCGACAGAAAGAAGAAAATGCTTGGAATGAGGAAGATGATGGGCAGGATGACTCGTTTGAGCCGGAAGACTAGCCAATGTATGAAGGGGGGGTCTCAGTTTTTTCTTTTTGTTAGTTTCATGTCTTTGTAAGCCTTGCTGTATGTAGGAGGGGATGGGGGGATTTCTCAGTCTTTCTTTTGGTTAGTCTTGTGTCATTGTAAGCCTTGCTGTTGTTGGTACTGGGTTTGGGTGTTATCTTAACACCCCTGTCAATGCTGTAATCTGCTTTTTATTTTATCAATAAATTTTTTCTTTTATTCTTCAAAACACATACTTGTTGGATGCAGTCTATAGCAATGTGCATAGAGTTTTCTGTTTTACTACCAACAAGTCCCTCATACAGAAACATTAATTAGTTATTTAATTGATCACATATAGCTGACTATATAAAATTCAAACAGGTCTACAAATGGATATCCAAGAAACACTATTCATGAGTTCCAACGTAAGTTAGAGTGCACTAACCCTGGTTCCGTTACATATACCAGACCACAGGTGAATCGAAAATTTCTAGCCTGTGTAAAATAACCAAAAGCATTAGGCATTTCAAACAATGAAAATAAACAGGTGATTAAAACAAAATTAAGATTAGACATAACAATGGAGTGGTTCTTGCACTAAATAGGAGAAAAATAACATACATAAGTCATCACATTTTTGTTCAAATAATTGAGAAATGACAACAGTATCAATTTTGAGTTGGTCTTTTATTCAGGCTCAAGAAGCTGTATAAAAGACAACAGATGCACCATATCTTATATCATGCATGTGGTATATTTAATACAATTCTCTCATTCTATCTCAAACAACTAATATTTGCAAGAAAAAATAAGGGTCCTTTTGGTTTGCAGTTGGAATCGGAATCGAAATGGTCCATTCCCATAATCCGTTTGGTTCAGACAGGAATGGGAATGGGAATTAGAATCAACAGGAATGGGATTTCATTCCCAAGGGAGGGGCAGGGAATGGCCATTCCCTCAAATGGGGGAATGCCATTCCAGCAGGAATGGGAATGGGATTCTCATTCCACCCAACCAAACAGTTGGAATCGGAATAGCCCATTCCGATTCTGATTCCAGACCCCTATTCCCACAAACCAAACAGGGCCTAAGTACCATATCATCTGTTAACCTCACTATTTTGAACTGAAATGGAAGAAAGTTGAGGACTTGAATGTTCTCGTAACTTCACGGGATCAACAACTTTCTCAGCTAAGATTTAAAGCAAAATAAACAACAACAACAACAACAAATGCTAATTTAAATAGTAATATACAAAAACAATTCTTTGAGACAAAAAAAAAATACACCCTAGCTTAAAGATATTTTTGCTTGTTTCATATTACATATGAATTAAGCAAGTATTAGTTTAGGTAAAATACGAGAGATGGCTAACATAGGTGAGAGAGGAGAGTACTATCCTTGGGTAGAAACATTGCACTGGATGTACTCAACCAAGTAATTGGCGATCCAAGGGGCACAGAGCTAATAGGCAACATCGTAAACCTTCCACTGGTCCCATGTTCTAGTGCTTTAAAGGATGTCCTCAAATTTCTTTTGTTAAATACATCCAATATGAAAGGGACCATATTATATTCAAAAGGAGGTCCCATGGTGCTTGATGTTTGCTGATGACTTTTTTTTTTGTTTTATTAGACAACTGTAAAGAAACTTCATTAAAATAGAGTAAAAGAGATGTATACAATAGAACAAGCATCCCCGGGAGAGGAGTGAGCTGCTACCTCTCCAAAGAAAAACAAAGAGATTTATAATTGTGCCCAATATAACTGTCCCTGGTCAATTCCTTGTTTGGCTAAGGTATCATCCATTCCATTGCTGATGGTATAGTATTAATTGATGAAACTAACAACGGATTAAATGCAAGATTAGGCTTCTCGACAAGTACATTAGAAACAAGAGGTTTTAAAATAAGTAGGACTAAAACAATTTTTTTTTTATCAGCAGAAGAAATTATTTTATTAGATTTAAAGAAAGCTGTAGCAGTACGATATGATGACAAGGATGACATCCCCAAGAGCTTATCAAATTACAGTTACAAAGAAATCCCAAAAAGGACAATAAGTTGCCAGCATCACAAAATACATCAGATTACAAATTAGCCCAAAATAAGCCATCTCTATCAGCCCCTTGCTTTGCCAATATATCTGCCATTCCATTTGCAGACCTTATCCCTAAAAGCATGTCTGTATTTCCAAGTAGATGATCTCATATTCTTGGACCAAGATATGACTAACTGAGAATCTCCTTCCACTTCCAATTCCCTTACTCCAAATTGTACAGCAAGCCTTAATCCATGTAAGAGAGCCATCACTTCAGCTTGTACTGAACCTCCAAACCCAATTGGCCCTGAAAATAATGCCACCACCACTCCTTCGTGGTTTCTAAAAACACCTCCTATTCCCGGCCCTTCCTGGATTACCCAATGAGCTACCGTCAAAGTTATGTTTCAGATTGTTAAAAGATCGAGGTTTCCAAACCATTCTAACACTTTCTGCAGGATTAAAACAAAATGTATACAATGTAAACCTAATAATAGGAGTGCAAACCGGATTAAACTTAGAATTTGAGACCAAGGGATAAATCAATGTGACCTCTTCCATTACCTTGGTTTAATAATTCTTAACAAAGGGTAGATGACATAATCATATAATTTTCTTCTTCCCACTTCTCATGTTCATCCAGTGATTTAAAAGGTGCGCCTAGGTGCACAAGTGAGGTGCATTTTAGGGTAGGCGCCTCGCCCAGGTCCTAGGCACAGCCCTTTCAAAAGGCGCATGCCTTGTGCTCCTGGTGTGCCTTGCACCTCAGCCCAGGCGTGCGCCTTTTGAAAATTTGATGCTTTTTTGCTTTTTTTGGTAATGTTGTTCTCATTCATGCATCCTAATAAAATATCTTCTTAAAAAGCAATTAAAACTATAAAATCATTATTTTTTGTGAGAACTAAGAATTTAAGACCTAATGTGGATTTGTTTGGGCTTGCCTCGAGGGGCGTGGCACAAAGGCGACTCGTAGAATCAGGAATGTAATATGTTTTACATCACATTAGCTACTTGAAGTAATGCAATTGAAAAAAAAAGTGATTGTCGAATTTATATGCTTGAAAATGTTTTAAAATTTAAGTTTATATTTTTCTTAATATTATGTTTAATAATTTTTTTATTTTTTTGCATGTTTTTTGAATTTTTTTGGCATTTTTTTTAATTTTTTAGCTTTTTTTTTGCGCCTTGCGCCTCAAGCACAAATTGACCCCTACGCCTTGCGCTTTTAAAACACAGTGTTTCATCACTGTTACCAATGGGTTTCTTGATCTTCCTAGTGAGATACCCCAATTTTCCCCTCTCTTCCAATGAACATCTTCACATCCTTGGACCATTCCAAGAAATTTGAACAATAGAGATGAGCAATGGATACAAGGATTAGGGAAGTGTCAACCTATCAGTTCGAAGAGAGGAGCAAGAGTTTTAGGGGTGTCTAATCTGAATACTCAACCCCCACCCAGTGATTTAAAAGGCGTAACTAGGTGCACTGGCAAGGCGCATTTAGGGTATGCACCTCGCCAAGGTACTAGGCGCAACCCTTTCAAAAAGCGCACACCTGGTGTTCCAATGCGTGCGCCTGATGCGCCTTGCCCTCAGTCGAGGCGTGCACCTTTTGAAAATTCCATGCATTTTTTTCTATGTATGAACCTAGTGGCTGGGCTAAGGGCTTCGCCCCCCGGACCCCTAACCACACCCCCTCAAGGCAAAGCCCAAACAAGTCCATGTTAGGGTCTTAAATTCTTAATTCACACATAATTCATAAAATATATTCTTAAAAGGCAATTAAAGTTATAAAATCATTGTATTTTTATGTGAGAATTAAGAATTGAAGACCTTAACATGGACTTGTTTGGGCTTGCCTCGAGGGGCATGGTACAAAGGCAGCTTGTAGAATCAGGAATGCAATATGTTTTACATCACTTTAGCTACTTGAAGTAACACAATTATAGAAAAAAAAAGAGATTGTGAGTTTTACATGCTTGAAAATGATTTATATGTTCTATTTTATTTTTAAATTTTCATTTGAATACTCTTTACATGTTGTGTTTATGTATTTTAATTTTAGATAATAGGTTTTATAAAAATTTATTTTCAAATTTAAGTTTATAATTTTTCTTAATATTATGTTTAATATATTTTATTTTTTACATTTTTTAGATATTTTTTGTTTTTTTAATTTTCTGACTTTTTTTATGTTTTAACTTTTTTTTTGTATTTTTGTGCCTTGCTTCAAAAAGGTGTGTGCCTTGCCTTGCACCTCGGATGCAAATTGGCCATTGTGCTTTTTTTGCGCCTTGCACACACTACTCCCACCCCAATGAGCCAATACACACACACACACACACAAAGAATAAGAAAAGAACAAGACAGTAGGGATTATAGTAATACAATGCATCAAGTGTCTTCACAGGAAGTGCATGTTGTCCATGCCACCACCAGTTAGGGACTGAATCCCAGAAAATATGAAAGTAGTTGAGTCTTCTGAAGTCATGGTAAACAACCCCAACACCACTGCTGGCCACTTCTGTACATGTTCAACCATGATTACAGAACACATACACAGACCTGTTAAACTCCCTTTCAACTACTAACAGTCCCACAACTGAAAAGAAAGGAACTGATCACAACTCCAGCATTACTGCTGTATTAGGTGGATCAACACTAATCCACATAAGAAATTAAGAGGAATCAGTCATATACACATGCAACACTACTACTGCTGTTGTACCTCTGTACACCATTTACTACCAAACAGAACCACTTCTTTCACCCAAACAGGAACAGCTCATTCAAACAACTTTTCTCAGCACGGATAGAAGTGATCGCCATGCTTACCTGCAGTCCCTAGGGCCACAGCAGTAGGTTTACAAAACTATAGATCACCACAGCCACAGACATCCTCCACAAGCAGAAGGCTTCTTTCGTAGCACTCTATGAAGCCCTACATGCTTCAATCACCAGTTCAAATAACCGAAAAAATAAACCTAGGTCTTATGACCCAGAAAGAATAGAATAAAAAGAAGAGAAGGCTCATAACATCAGATCTGATTGTCAAATCCTTGTGCAGAATGCTTCCTTCATTAAGACAGTTAGAAGAGGAAAGAAAGATCTAATCTCCTCTTTGACAGATGGTGCTCTGATACCATCTCATTTGTTATAGAAGATCTAGAAGGAAGAAGACAGCACAAGCGAGAAAGAAGCAAAGCATTGGGTATGTGGTGCTGCCCCACAACACTTTTATATTAAGTATGTTTTTAAAAAAATGATGAAAAGACCAAATTGACCTTCTGCCTATTAGTACAACAAAATACTAGTTCTCAGAACAAACAACAACAATAAACACAACTTACCTGTTGGTAGGAAAGAGGGTGAATAACTGCACCACTTACTTCCAAGAAGTAATTAGGAGTTATCGAATGCAAATCCTGAACCTGAACCATCATCAGACAAAGTCATAATCAGAAATACAAAGCAAACATAAAGAAAGTCAGCTGAATAATGATTCCTTATCTCAAGCTGAGCACTGATCCAATTAAAATTTGAATGATCAAAGACCTTTAACATCTCAGGAAAATTCAGTCCATGTCCAGCTGAAATATTTTTACTGTCTACTATTTTAATCATTTATTTCTTAGTAATAAATCTGTAATCATCAAAGATTCTCTAGATTCAAATGTAATTAATAAAATGAAGTTGTCCCCACTTTATATGAGAGAGATTGAAGGTACAGAGAAGGTTCTTTGTTTGAGAGTAGTAAAATAGAAGTAAAATGATGATATGGTCCTCACTCCTCACCTTATACGAGGGAAAAGTAAGGTAGGAGGAAGGTTGTAGAAATTTTGCATTAGTTTTTGGGATGCAAAATTTGCTGTGCCAATGAGTTCAAATTTTGCATCAGGTAAGAGAGCAAATCGTGGCTACAGATTAACAGATGCAAATCTGAATGAGATGCAGAATTTGCAAGTGGTTCAGATTTGCATTGCAAACAGAACTAAAAGTGTAATTGGGGATGCAGACCCATCAGACACCACTGATCCCTATGGTGGATGCAGACCCATCTCTAATCCACAGATTCTTTTATGGTGGATACAAGAACAAAAAGGATGCTTAAGGCCACTGGAATACATAATACATAACCGGGAAGGCAAGAACCTTGTCATACAGTATTAACATCATGTTCAGGTAGGTCTTAATGCAATGCCAACTCTTTTTTTTTTTCTTTTTTCTTTTTTTTTTGGTAACAGTCTAAGTGGACGAAGACAATTGCCTTTTACAGGAGAAGAGATCATCATATGGCATTGGTTTACCATTAATATGCTAAACTCATGTAGGAGACTACCACTGATCCCTATTCTGGGTCAGGGAATTCTAATTTTCATTCATTACAGTTGAGACCATTATCTTCCACTCATATAGGACTTGGAGTGCAACTTGGGTTGCGTTGAGTTGAGCATTTGCCAAATTTAAAGGGGCCCAAGCTCTTTTTTTTTATCAGTAAAAGTGATTTTATTAAGAAAATGATATGAGAATTAGTACAGAAATTGAGTGGCCTTGGCTACCCCATTATCCTTTAAAATTCCACCTAAGGTTTCGCTTTACATCCTTACAACTGAGCCCAAAAACAATATTCCCTATCAGCCCCTTGCTTCGCTAGCTGGTCCACAAACCCATTTGCTGCTCTTGGAATCCACTGAAATAATAACTACATGTGCTTGGTAATGTGATTAAGTTTTTAGGTTTCATTTCTGAACACCCATGGAGTCTTTCCGTTCTGCTTTAGCCAGCTTATAATTACTTTGGAGTCGCCTTCTATAACCAGCTTTCTCACACCTATTTCCATGGCTTTTTGTATTCCAAAGACCACTGCTTTTAGTTCAGCTGTAATGGAGTCTCCCCATCCGATAGGGCCCGAATACAGCCCCACTACTTTCCCCATGTCATCTCTTGTGACCCCCACCAATTCCAGCCACACCCGGGTTGCCAATGCTGCTCCCATCAAAGTTTAAGTTGAGGAATCCAGATTCAGGAGGATACCAGCTTCTTAACACCTTTTTTGCTGATGACGAGGATGCTACAGTCCTCTAGTTCCTGATTATATCATCCACAGTAAAGTTTGAGAATAAACCCATAGATTTTACCCATGAGATCACTTTTATCATAATCCCTTCTATCAGTAATTCCTTACACCTATTCTTTCCTTCAAAAATTCTCTGACATAGATTTTACCCAGGAGGCCCAAGCTCAATTTAGTTGAATTTCTTCAACTTGGAGTCTTGGACAACCAGATTTCACAACATATAGGACATCTTGCATACACACTTTGATAATTAATAAAGTTTATGACTATTAAAAACATCTCTGTTACTTTGTTTTTGGCTTTATTATTTATTTATAGATTGTGTCTCTCACAACCTATAAAGTGTATGACTATAAAAACATCTCTGTTTACTTTGTATAAAAGCAGGGGAGGTCCTTTTTCTTCTATACATAAACTAAAGGAGTTTTGTTGCTTCTCTTTTTTATTCCTTCCTTCTTTTTTTAGGGAGAAGATGGTTGTCCCAAGTGTTTTAAAAGGCATGGGAAGCATACGCCTGGAGGCGCGCCTCCAGGCGAGGCGCTCCCAAAACGCCCTGAGGCGTATGCCAGAGGCGCTGACACCTCTGAGCCATATGCCTCCTGTGCTTTTCTCATGGCGCGTGCTAGAGGCGTACGCCTCATGTGCCTCATGCACATCTGATATAAAAAGACAGAAAAAAAAGGAAAGGAAAGGAAAGGGAACAAAAAGAAAAAGAAAGAAAAGAAAAAAAGAGAAAAGGAAAAAAAAAAGGAAAAGATAAGGAGAAAGAAAGTGGTTTGCCCCCTGCCCCTTCGGCCGCTTCAACATGACCCCCCTTTCAACTAATGTTCTGCATCTTTATTATTCTTAATATAAAAGATTTTTATTAAAAATAAAGAAAAAATGAGATCCCCCCCTTCCTCTTCATCCTCCTCCTAACTCCCAATTATCAAACCACCAACCTCACTGCAAATTTGATTTTTGAAACCTTGAGAAACAGAACCACCATGGCAATTTCTTATCTCTATAACGTTTGACAATTATCATTTAACCCAACATTAAGTAAAAGAAGCATTCATTTATAAATAAACCTAATTGAAAAACAGAATACTGGAAGATAAACAATACCAGCAATTTAACAGTCAAGGAAGTGCCACCCCTTTCAATCAGCAAATCTATCTCCTGATCAACGCTATCATCAAGTACAGTCTCCAGTTTCAGAAACTGAGTAATCACCTAGATTAAATGACAATAGATCATGAGAAACTCATATACTATATGGAAATTTAAAACCAGTCCTCAACTCTTCACAAAATCAGAGACCAACCTGATCTCACAATCAGCATGGAGGTTGGAGGGATCTACTATCTGATTTTAAAATTCTACACTGTGGTAACATAAATCTGTTTCTCTAGGATGTTTCTCTTTTTTCTTCTTGATTAAAGAACTATAATTATTCAAATAGTTTTAGAAAGGTAAAAAAATTAAATTATACAAACACCTAATTCTGTGTAAAAATTAAAATTTGCAAGTAACCTGGCATGAAGAGTAGTAGAATCTGTATTTTGGGGGAAAGCATCGTTAAGCTAGTAGTTCTACGGTACTTCATTCAATATATGTACATAACCCATGGTTGTTTTTGCCCATTCCAATGGGGGTAGAGTTTTTATTCTCATCACATCTATTTGCAAATGAATTCTTTTCTAACTTGTTACTGATTCCTAAGCAAAGTACTATAATATTTTATTGTATTATTATTTTGCTCTAATATGCGAAAAATATAATACTTTAATAGTGAAAATTAATAATAACGTTACTTTAAGCATATCCAATCATTTTCCCATACCAAGTAGCTGGGCACAACTTTAGGTTTATCTATGTGGGTACAGAAATAAACTTGCTATTATAAATGAGGCAAGTAATTGATTTTTCATGCATATGCCAAGTATTAGCAACAAATGCTTTTGAAAGTTAGATTGGCATATTTTAATTCAATAAATGGCCACATAAACATCACATACATCAAGCATTCCTAAGTCCTAAACTAGGATAGTCTAAACAAATGGAGAAATCATATACCAAGTAATAGTTTTCAAAATTAGTAAACAATATAAAGCCAAAGATCACCAGAGCAGAACAAAGGCATCATTGAGCTTAAATACATTGTCATTTTCTGAAAGAATAACTTACTTCCCCATTCAGCCGAACAAGCACATCACCAGGCTCCAAATGCTTGTGTGCTGGGCCTCCTGGGACCTAAAAAAGGTAGATTTTGGTCAGAAGTTATAAAAGTACATAAATCCGTGAAATACAATGCTCAATCTCCTGAAAAAAAAAATGTAAAGCAGTTATGGAGAAGCAAAACCTTCACCCTTGGAAAAAAAAGAAAGGATTAATTAATAAATAGATCAAAATTTAAAAAGTGAAACAACAGAATCTTGGTGGGTGAAAGGTTTGGTAGTAGAGATAAGTATATCTGGGCATCTATACCCATTGACATTTTGTGGTCTATTTGGATGGAAAGAACAAAAGAATCTTTGAGAAGAAAATTTCACAAAAAGAAACCCTCAAAAAGATTGTGGGAAGGATTTGTTCTTGGGCAATACTGGAGAAGGCTTTCATAATGTTCCAGTTCACTCTGATTTAAACAGAGAATCTATTTACACTGTAATTGGGGATCCCTGATCCCCATGCTTTCTATGCAGTATGCAGTCTTCTGTGTATATTGGAGGTCTTCTGTGCAGCCCCTTAATGTAGTAGGAGAAATATGTCCCTGTTACTCTGATCATGTACTTCAAGCATAGTTTCTTAATAATAATATTTTGCTTTCCTTCAAAAAAAAAAAAATTGAAACCTTTATTTGGATAAAGGCAGTGGATAAAATGATAAGCCTATATCACCTTAATCATCAGAACATGAACATCTTGAGTTAATAGAATTTTACTTAGTGATTTGGAGCCCTCTCCACAACCAATATGCAGAAGAGGGAACACTCACCACAGAATCAACAACAAGCATTCCAGTCTCACCAGCAGGAGATGCATGCCTAACCATCTGTAAGCCACAAAAAACTTAACATGAGTGAAAAATTTGGAAATGAACCTCAGATTAACATTTAAATGATTCAAGTATACTTGTTCTAAAACAAAAGGTCATATAAATAATTTTGAAAAAATGAAACATAAAAGGAAATATATGAGAACAAATAAAATAGAAAGAGAAGAGGAGGTAATATCTAAGCACCTGCTCCGTTTCACTTTGCAGACCAAGCCGGCGTGTCTCATCGAATCCTTTATGAAGAAATGTCACCTACAAATAAAGCCAAAGAAAACTATGGTAAATATTCAAATAGTTTAAGAGATGTAATCCTCTCTCTCCCTACCTCCCTCCCTCCCTCCCACCCTCTCTCTCTCTCATGTGCACCTGATATCTTTCACCTAAGCTACATGGTTGTTTAGGCATATAGGCAATTCAAGGCAACAGTGAACTGGGCATGACTTAAATTATAGAATGAAAGTTAAGCTTTAGGTTAGTTCCATAATTTTACATAACAATCAGCATGAACATAAATTGAAAAAAGTAGTAATGCTCTTTACTATAACATTAACTTCCTCCCAGTAGCAAATCACCGTATCTAAAAGACAATAACATTTCAAATCTATTAATTTAAAATGTTTTAAAAGTAACAAAGTAGTTTGGGTAAGAAGATCTGCAAATGCTTTGGCATATTTGTTAGCTAAGCAAGGAGCAACAAGAAACCATTTCTATTGGAGACTAGTTTCCAAAGGTGGGAGTTGTAAATATTGCAATGGTTGTTCTAGTGTTGGTTAACTGTGGTTAACTACCACAGTGGGCTTTGCTTTGGAATCATCTCATTTTTTCAAAAAAAAAAATAATATATAAAAGTAAACACAATAGTATAATACGTATTGAATAGAGTAATTTCATGTCTAATTAAAACCTAAAGAAGGTAATAATTTTATATAAAAAAATTTAAAATAGAAAGCAAGGAAAAGAGCCCTATATTTTTAATGTAGTAGTAGTAGTAGTAATGAAATATTTATCCTTCTATATTTCAAGAGAGCCATAAACAACACATATGAAATATTTATAATATATGATACAATTATCAAAATACAATTAAGATGCAGCCTATAGTAATACTATTAAAATAAGAAACTCACCTTGTGATTGTCCTGTCTAGATCACCAAGATTGGCACCTTTTTAAAGATAAGTCTGGGAATCCCACCATGGGTGCCCTGTTGCCTAGGAGACACTTTGACAACTATGTTTAGCTATACATCATTACCCCTTCCATCCCCCAAAAAACTTGTGCATCACACGGGTCCTGACTAGTTAGAAAGTTATAGAAGTATCCTATTTTGAAGATTTTTTTGAAAGGTTTCAGAAAACATTTCATTATATAAACAAGAATATTAAGTAAGTGATATAACCAGGGAATGATCACCCCTTAAAACATGTGTGACAATTAAGTCCTATACAATCATTCCCTACCCAATCCTTACCTGCAGGATCAGGTTAACATTTTTTTTTTTTTTATAAGTAGGAAGTTTCTATTTTTTGAAGTCTGAATACAAGTAGGAGTCAACAGGTCTTGTAGAGAACAAACCTATTTTATTCTTCCCTACTAAAGCTTGCAAAGCAGCTTGAATTCAAAGAGTTAGAGGTGGAAGGGGACTCTTAGGTGGTCATTTCTTGGACAAGAAGTAACACCCAAATCCCTTGGATCTATAGACACACCATCCAGGAGATTGAAAGCATAGCAGGGGTGCTAACTGTCAATTTTAATTGGGTGAGGAGAGCTGCTAATGGAATGACAGATACTTTAGCTAAACAAGGGGCTTTTAGGCATCAATTGTTTTGGGCAAAATTGTAATTTTTTGTTAGCTCAGGGAGGAGTTTTTCCACCTTGATGTATCCTTATAATTTCCTTAATACGATCTCCTTTATGATAAAAAAAAAGACTGAATAAAGATTTCTTTTTAAGTGGCGGTAATCAATTTGGAAGATTGGGAGGTAGAGGCTGTAGCAGGTTCTCTAGAGTGTTCCATGTCTCGTTGGCCTTTAACCTACTTGGGTCTTCCGTCAGGAGCTAACCCAAAAGAAAGTCGGTTCCGGTATCCAATTGTGGAAAAGTTTGAAAAGAGACTGGGTACTTGGAAAAAAAGTTACATTTCGATAGGGGGTAGAGTGACCTTGATTAGGGTGACACTTGCTAGTCTTCCGGTTTATTTTCTTTCTGTATTCATGATACCCTCAAGGAAAGTCAACAAGCTAGAAAAGGTGATGAGGGATTTCGTGTGAGAGCCAGGGAAGAGAAGAAGGATCATTTGATTAGGTGGGAGATATTCAGCAGGAGTAAGGAAGAAGGGGGATTAGGACTGGGAAATCTAGTTCTTAAAAATGAAGCTCTATTAAGGAAGTGGATTTGGAGATGGCCATTATAGAGAGAGAGAGAGAGAGAGAGAGAGAGAGGTTGTGGCACAAGGTGGTGAATAGTATTCATGGCTGTTTGCAGAACGGTTGGGATGCCGGGTATCTCGACAGGTGACTCTTGCAACACCCTGGAAGGCCATTCACGGAATTCTACCCCATTTTCTCAATCTGGTCAGGTATGATGTTAATTCTGCCATTCTGGACACAATGTTCTTTTTTGGGAAGACATTTGGGTGGGCAACCAACCTCTTAAAGACCTTTTTCCCTCTCTTTACTCTCTTTCCCTTTATAAGGAAGAGCAAGTTTCCAGTTTTATTTCCTACTCAGATTCTTCTGTGGCCCTAAACTGGGATTTTGGTTTCCGTAGAGGGTTACGTGATGATGAAAGTGCTTGTGTTTCAGATTTATTGTGTTCACTTGAATCTATTTGTTTAGATCCCCTCAAACCTAACACAAGAACTTGGACCCCTAACCCAAAAAGTTTTTTCACTTGCTCCTCTTTCTTCAAGTCCCTTTGTTCCACTTCTACACCTTAGAATTTCCCAGTTAAAGAATTTTGGACGAGGCCCATTCCCCCAAAGATTGTTGTTTTTTGTTGGGAAGTTTATTATGGTAAGATTAGCACCTTTGAAAACCTACAAAAGAAAAGACCAAATCGGTGCTTATCCCCTAATTGGTGTATTCTTTGTAAATCTCAGAATGAGGACTGTCACCATTACTGATCTCTTGCTCCTTTGCTACAGATTTATGGAATTGGATTCTTATATTGTTTGAGTGTAGGTGGAACCTACCATCTGATACTAGCTTTTAGTTTAGTTCGTCTATTTTTGAATGGCACACAAAGAGAGGGAGAATTATGTGGAAGTGCATAAGAGCAGCTTTGTTGTGGACAGTTTGGGAAGAAAGGAACACTAGAATCTTTTGTGAAAAAGAAAGGAGCTTCTCGAAAATTAAAGAATGTATTCTGACAAGGGCAATTCAGTGGCTGAAAACTCTAAAGATCTTTGATGCATACTCTTTTGATGACCTATGGAGAAGCTGGTTAGCAGTGGCTAATACTTCTACTAGGAAGGACAGACATGGGGTTGATTAGATGCCAGCAGGGGAGGAGTTTATCAAGCTGAACTTTGATGGAAGTAGCTGAGGAAATTCAGGACCTTCAAGCATAGGAGGAGTGCTGAGAAACAAAGATAGTAACATTATATCTTTGTACTCAGGTCCTGCAAGTGTGGGAGACTCTTTAAGGGCCGAATTACTTGCTGCTGTACAAGGAATCCAGCTTGCAAATCAGCTAGGCATAGAGCATCGGATTATTGAAGGGGATTCCCAGGTGATAATGGGTTGGCTGAAGGATCCGGACACTGTGATTTGGGGTTTTAGAGATCTTCTCAAAAAGGTTAAATGGTTAACAAGGAATATGACAATCAGAGCTCAGTGGGTAGGCAGATCAGAAAACTCATTGGCTGATTCACTTGCAAAACAAGAGGTTCTCCAGGATACTTTATTTTGGGCTTCAGTGCAATTTCTTTTGTACTTATAATTCTATAACTAGCTTTAAAGGAAAGGTCGCATCTCGTGCCCTTCCTCGGGTTGCATGTAACTCTTATTTGCTGGTTTAATAAAATTTCACTCATTTATCAGAAAAAAAAAGAATTGTTTTTTCTGTTTCTACCATAGCCAGCAACTATAATAGAATTTATTCTTGATTTCTTTCTTCCTATTCTATTCTTTTTTTCCCCACTAAGGACTGAATAAAAATAACCCTGGACCTTGTATGAAAATGGAAGGATATTGGTAATGCACTCAGGCCCGATGGGGAAGGGCACTCGGTGAGAGTTGATATGATGGAAGCAAGCGTAGGGGAACAGAAGGCTAACGAATTGAGAGCTGAAAGGTTAATGGTTGAAGGAGATTCCAAAGTTTTTATTAGCTGGCTTTTAAAGATGGAAGTTGCTTGCTTCATCAAGAATGAACTAAGGTGATTGAAATGTTCTCTAAGAATATGCAGATAGAGATTAAATGAGTTCAAAGATTGGCAAATGGTTTAGCTGACTGCCTAGCTAAGCAGGGAGTCAATAGATGGCTTCGATGTAAAATGTGTGGGTGGGAAAGCTAGGGCTATATGTACTCACAACCTCTTGTTTTTGCCTCATTTAATTAATAAGTCAATTTTTCATTGTGTAGATAATCAAAAAAAAAAACAAAAAACTCCTCTCTCTCTCTCTCTCTCTCTCTCTGTATATATATAACAAGACAGTCCATGTCAGCAGCCCTCTCCTTTCAGTATAGCCGTATAGGTATTTATCTATTTTCTCCTTTTTCTATGTTATCCCTTATTTTCTTTTGGTTTAAAAATATAAAAAAGTAACCATTGCCAATTTTGATTGGATCAATAAAGCTGTACACTTTTATTTATAGAGAGAGAGAGAGAGACCTTTGGGTTTTCCAAGGCCGCTTAATTCAATACATGTTATTATTACATTTAAGAGAGAGAGAATGAGAGTGAGAATAGTAATACAATATAATAAAGTAAAACATTAATAGATCAAATAATCTAAATAGGTTGAAGCTAAACAATCAAACACAAAACAACAAAAATGAAAAAATTATTTTAAAATGTTATTAATTTAAAAGTCCACTAAACTTCCACTTAAAAATAATAACTATTAACAAAACTTTTAAAATGTTAATTAAAAACATTTCAATTCCATTTAAAAATCAAACACTAATAAAATTTTAAAAATAAAAATTTTAAATAAACAAAAATACTAATTGATGGTTTTAATAATCTTATGATTTAAACATGGGTTTAATATAGCCTATGTTCTAATGTTGTATTTTGCTTTATTTGTTCTTTTTATTTTACTACATAACTTTGTATTAATGCATTTTTAATTAATTAATTAATTAATAATATTGTTAAAATTAATAATTTTTATGAGTTAGAGACCTTTACTATACATAGTGCACATGCTACATAAAAGACTTATATAAAAAAGATGACACATTAAAAATGATATAAAAATAAAAAACTAATGAAAATTTAAATGGTAGAACTTGTTTTATCACTCAGGCAAAGAAGACGAGCTAAAGGGTCTATGTTGATCCAATTTTGAAAACGATTCTGGTCCATTTGGAAACCCATAACGTGTGATACACGATACAACATATTTTAACACATTCAATAATAATAATAGTAGTAGTAATCTATAAAATTTGAAATCTAATAAGTATAATTAATAAAAATTAGTAGTTCATAAATTAAAGAATAAATACAATTTAATTATATTTAAAGATAATCAATATTAATAGGATAGTTAAAATTAATAATAAAAAGTAAAAAATTATGAAAAATAATAAAATAAACCATTTGCATTCCATATAAAAAAATATAAAATTAATTAAAACAAAAAAAACTAATAATGATCCAATTAGAAATGTCATAAGACTCCTACTTAGGTGATCATTTATAATAACAGTCCAATATGACTATAGGGATTATTAGGAGATGGTTGACTATGCATATTGTGTTTAAAGATGACATGTCTGATAGTATTTTGTTGAGGATGGCCTGTTTTTGAGGTCCAACTTGTTAGCTATTTGTACAGATTATCATTGTACAAAGGACCTTTTACTTTAACACAATCATAAAAAATCATTTATAATTTAGCCCAACCCAGCTAAACCTACAAAGTTTTGGGTTCAAGCAACTATTTCTTCTAAGCTAGGTCTAGCTACACCAAGCCCGCACATAATGTGAGCAGTAGGGATTTAAAATTAATAAAAATTACTAAAGTTAATAAAAAATATTAAATTTTAGCAAGTTTTATCTAGAAACCATTAAAAAATAAGAAATTAGTAAAATTAGTATTGATATATTAATTAAAATTAATAATAAAAAGTAACAAATCATTTATAACTTAGCCCAACCTGACTATACCTATATATTTTCAGGCTCAAGCAACTATTTTCTTTTGAGCTAGGTCTAACTCAGATCTGCACCAAGCCCATACATAATGTGGGCAGTAGGACTGTAAACAGATCAGACTCAAATCATATCCAAGTTATATCCGCATCAACATCCAATTATGAAATTTCTAGATCTGCATCCACATCTGATTATTATTATGTTGGATTTTGAGATTTTAAAGTACATACGTATAATAAATGCATAATAAAAAATACTAAATTTATTAATTATAAACTTTATATAATTACACATAATATCTATATGTATACATAAATATACTACATATATATAAAATAATAACTTTTTGCTAGACATGGATTTTAATCAAATTGGATGGATTAAATCCACATCCAGTTGAATTATTAATCAAATGCAAGTTCTAACATCCAAATCTAGGATAATTAGATTCGAAGTCTAATCGGGTATCAAATTTTTGAAGTCCAATGACTAGGGGTGAGAATGGGTCAGTTCAGTTTGGTTCCATGGCAGAACCTGGAACCTACCTTGTAGGGACCGATTCCAAGTTTTTGAACTGGAACCTACCCTGTGAAGGTCGATTCCATGGTTGGTTCTGACCTTGGCAGTTTTTGGGTCAGTTCTAGGGTTTACCCATGGAACCTGTTCTTTCTTTACTATACCCTTCAAAAAAAGCATGGCCCTTAAAAACTTGATTTTCGATAAATATAATATATATTTTAAAACTTATATCATCTTTATTCATTAAATCGAGTAATTTAATATGTAGATTATCATTATATGGTTCAAAACTTATGGTTTAAATTTAAATTTTGTAAATATTGCCTTTTACACTACTTATTGTACATATTCAAATATTAAAATGAAAACAAATGATCAAACGACTTAAGTAACTCAATGGTCAAGTGAGACCATGGCCTCAGTAACCATGAGTGCTTGGGTTCAAATCTTCACATTCCCAAAAGTATTTTTGGGTCTATTTCAGCGCAAGTTCGGTTCCAAGGCAGGTTCCACGAAGGTTGATTCCACCAAGGCATATTCATCGGGTTGGTTTGCGTAGGGCCATTTCAAGGCCAGTTCGAGGTCGGTTCCTAGTAGAACCTACCAATTTGCTCGCTCCTACCAATGATAGCATTAGCAAATAGGGCCCAAGCTAAGCAACTCCTAAGCTCAATTTGGAAGTTATATGCATATATGGTAAATATTGTTATATCATATTTAGATAACAAATTTAATATTATAATATATATGTTATATATTTTTTAAATAGATTAAAAATATGTACATTTTTTAATTTGTAAAAAAAATCATAATTTTATAATTAACACGCGCAAAAAAGGCATATTCATCGGGTTGGTTTGCGTAGGGTAATTTCAAGGCCAGTTCGAGGTCGGTTCCTGGTAGAACCTACCAATTTGCTCGCTCCTACCAATGATAGCCTTAGCAAATAGGGCCCAAACTAAGCAACTCCTAAGCTCAATTTGTAAGTTATATGCATATATGGTAAATATTGTTATATAATAATTAGATAACAAATTTAATATTAATATATATGTTATATTTTTTTAAATAGATTAAAATTAAGTACATTTTCTAATTTGTAAAAAAATCATAATTTTATAATTAACACGCGCAAACCTGTCCAAGTCCTAGGCCCAGACAAATATTATTACACTTGAGGTGTGGATCGGGCTAGGCCAAGCAACCTTAAAAACTGTTAATACACTATCAAAATCTGGCCCAAGATCTTTTATTTCTTTTGGTTCATTGGGCTACACAATGGGGGTAGCCAGTCCCCCATAGCTCCTTTGGCTTCAATATTATCTAAAAATAGTTAAAAAAAACAAAAATAATGCATGCATGGGTTGCACTCGGTTTGGTTCAGTCCAATTATGAATGTCATAGTGTGTGCAACTTGGGTGGGATGGAAGAGGATGAGGATCAATCCAAGCCTAATCCAAAGTCTTAAACCTTGAGTTCGGCTTAGATTAATTTAATTATGACTAAAAAAGTTAACTATAGATTAATTTAATTATGATTTATGACTATGGCCTAACTTTATATATTTTGTCAATATTTAAGTGATATTTACAAAAAAAATGTAACATTTAATCATTAATAAAGTAAAATAAATAAAACAGAACACAGAGATAAAATGAAAAAATAATTATTTTATTAAGTAATTAGCAATAACTTGTTATTTTTGTTGAAAAACATTAATATTATTAATTCAAATCACTAAGTTGCTAAATGATTTTTGTAACAAATAATTCAAATAAAGATTTAATTATTTTAAACAACATTGCATTCCTTCCTTAGTTATAAGTTTTGGTTATTTCACTTTCCCTTTGATAAATCCCGTGCATCACATAGGTCCCTACTAGTGAATTAATAAAGCCTAACAGTTAACAATCAAGAAAAACAGTAAACAACATATCTTACTAGGTAGGCAATAAAACCCTGAACTATATAATCTCAATATGGCCCAAAAAATGAAAAAAAAAAAAAAAAAAACATCACCCCCAATAACCACATAAAAGGGATAACTCCCCCAAGAAAAAAAAGAAACCAAACTACTCTCCAAATCCAAAACTAAGCACCTCACCCCACCCATTCGAAATACCACCGTCAAACCGCAGATGCTACAAAACAAACCCAGAACACCCATTAAATGCAATAGGAACAGAAATCAGAGACTTTCGAACACCCATAAAAGTGCAATGTCCAAGAACCAGAACACCCCTCCAAAAGAGCCAAACAAGTCCAATACATTAATCAACCCATCCTCAAAACAAGGGAAATAATAATATCATCAAGGATCTCACAGCAAACCATCTGAGTTGCACTTTCAACATTTGCAGAAGCTTCATACTAAAACTAAAGATCTGTACGAAAGCACATAATACTAAATTTACATGTGAACTAAAAATATTTTATTTTTCCTAAATGATCCTTCCTTTTCATTTTACCTCTGTCAAATACCTGAAGAATCATTGCCAACAGGCTAAACAAGAACATATCAGAATCACAAGCAATAACAAAAATTTGACAACATGAAAGCATTTTTGAACCTTATGGAACTTGTGCAAGAGAAACCAGAAAATATATTGACCCAAAACAGAAAAAGAAATGTAGGAGATAAAATAAAACTAAATTATTTGTCAGGAAATGTTACAGCTTTTATCTCAAGCAGTTCTCAGTTGTTATACAATCTAACAAGATCATTAAGAATGTGAAACTTGATGAGAAAAGAACCAACAAACCTGAAGCGTACCACGAGGAATAGTGACTGCCAACCATTTATTTCCAAATGAATCCCAGCCATCCTGCAGAAATTTTAATGCCCTCACAACCTGCCAATTATAGAACCCCAAGACTTAAAATTTGCAAGGGTCAAAGATTTACCAGCATAACCTACTATGGCACTCAACCAAAACATCTTTAAAATTTCACAGCAAAAATAATTGAAAATGACAAAAACGAAAAAGACAAAGAAAAAATAAAATAAAGACCTATGTTAAAATAAATAATAAATATTTAACCAAAAATGCAGCAAGAGGAATAAGAAAATGAAACAAGGGTGGAGAAATTTCTTTGTTTTTTTTTGATCAATAACTGTGAAATGTATTAATTAAGATTAAGAAAATTACAAAGCAAGGGGGCTAAACAATCTTAGCTCCCTAGAACAATCATTGAGCACCAAAATACAATTATAATACGGCCCAAAATAAAGAGTTTCTGTTCACCCCTTGCCTAGCTAGACCATCTGCCAGTGAGTTTGCACTTCCCTTTACCCATTTGTACTGAATTTCAATATCGTTAGTCAGCCACTTAAATTTTCTCTTTTCATTGCTGTAATTCCATATCCTAGAGTTATCCTCTTTTAACCAGTTCACCACAACTTAAGAGTCTCCTTCTATGATCAGCTTACTAAATTGCATCTCATTGACTCTTTGTACTCCTTCAAGAGCTTCAAGTATCTCAGCCCTCAAGGAATCTCCTTCCCCTATTGGTCCTGAAAACATAGCTAACAAATTCCCATGTTCATCTCTTATTGCTCCCCCTATTCCAGATGGCCTTGGATTACCCATATTGCTGCCATCAAAATTCAGTTTAATAAAGCCATGAGGTGGAGGAATCCAACAAGAATTTGATGCCTTCTTAGCTGAAGCTAATTTTGCAATTCCCTTCCAGTTTTTTAGCATCTCATCTACTAAGAATTCTGCAAACAATGCCAAAGTTTTCAGCCAATGAGATGGAGGAATCCAACAAGAATTTGATGCCTTCTTAGCTGAAGCTAATTTTGCAATTTCCTTCTAGTTTTTTAGCATCTCATCTACTAAGAACAATGCCAAAGTTTTCAGCCAATGTATCACCCTAATATGGATTACCTCCAATATTACTTCCAAGCTTCTCTCCTTTTCTGAGAAGATCCGTGAGTTTCTCTCCTCCCAAACAGTCCAACAAACTGCAGCCCTCATACATCTCCACATAATCTTGGCCCTTTTTGTTGGCCAGCTCGGCATGGAACTGAATAAACTTTGCACATTCAAAGGGGGGGTCCACCTGATCCATAGAGAGAACAATGGCAAAATAGCTTGAATAGCTTTCCATGGTGCTGCTCTTGTAGTCTTTGCCAGTAGCTAAGTAGTGATCTAATTGGTTTGACTGAAACAATTAAGTAGAAGAATGTTCAAAAACTAAAAAGATATTAACAAGCCACTATACATTAAAACTCAGTATATTGTACAAAATCTTTTTTTTATCAGCACAATAAGTCAAACTTTAATTAAAAGATAGATGAAATCAATACATTCAAATTATAGGGCTGCAAGCCCAAAAGTACTAACAAAGCTACAAAGAAGCCAAAATAATTGCTGCCTCAATACCCCTTGTTTGTCAAGGGAATCAGTCATCCCATTTGCAGTCCTTACCACTTAAATTCAGCATTTATGTCCTTATCAATACTTTCCACTTCCCTAAAACTATGTCGAAGATACCACAGAGTGAGTCACTGAGTCTGTTACAGCTAGCCCATGAGATGATCAGCTTTGAGTCTCCTTCCACCTCCACCTGTCTATATCCCAATTGTTTCGCTAACATAAGCCCTTGCAATAAAGCTGTCAGATCATTATTGGCTTCTCCCCATCTCTTGTTCTCTTCTCACTAAGATCTCTCTCTCTTTTGATCAATAACAACAGATTTCATTAAATACGAATAAGCTTACAAAGTAGAGGAGCTAAAGTATCTTAACTCACCAAGAAAGTGGGCAGGTACCCAAAAAGAAAAAAAATTACAACTGAGCCCAGAAATCAGAATCCCTATTCACCCCTTGCCTAGCTAACCCATTAGCAAAGGAGTTTGTATTTCTCTTTACCCAAGTACACTGAACTTCCATGTTCTTGATCGGCCATTGAATTTTCTCTTTTCATTGCTGTAGCTCCAAAGCTTAGAGGTGTCTTCTTTTAGCCAGTTCACTACAACCTCAGAATCTTCTCTTTCTCACTGTTATCAAATCAGATTATTGTTTTTTTCTTTTCTACTTTCTCAACTGGAATTCCTGCAAGGTTTCAGAAAATATAGCAAAACCAACCCTTTGTTTACCCATCAGGATGCAAATCATCTGTTTTCTTCTTTTCCCAAACCATTAAGTTAGTATAATAAACCAGCCCTTGATAGTATTTTTCATCTTTACTACAAAAGCTTTCCCGCTTCTCTATAGAAAGTTCATCCAGTTTTGTATATTCACTGATCCGTCGCCACGTCTAGAAATCCTTTGAACCATGTTGTCGCTTCTTCCACTAGGTAAATCATCACTGTCTTCTCTTCCCTTACTTTAACTGTTAGGAACCTGCCTAACTCAGGGCTCTTCGAGCGGCCAACCTCCTGAATTCTTGGGAAGGAGAGAGAGAGGGAGAGAGAGGGAGAAAGAGAGAGATTAATGCTGAAAGAGTCCTCCTCTATTCCTTTTCTGCTCTACTACTTATAGTGTTACAATCTTGACTGTTACAGCAGTTACAAGTGGATGGCAGTTGTTACAAGTGGCTGGTTAGTTGAGCTGATGTGGCCTCCTCTTGTAAAACTGACTAACTGCCTTCTGTTGGTCTGTTCCAACAGTCTTGACAATCCAATTGGATGGCAATTGTTACAAGTGGATGGCAGTTATTACAAGTGGCTGGTTAGTTGAGCTGATGTGGCCTCCTCTTGTAAAACCTAACTGCCTTCTGTTGGTCTGTACCAACAGTCTTGACATTAACAGCCTCTTGCCCTTTTATCTGTAGAGGCTGATTTATGTCTCTGACATCTTCTTTCCTTTTTTGGCTCTTGGGACCACTCTTTTATGTTAACTTTTGTACACTATTTTTTGTTTTATTCTTTCTTGTAAGAGAAGGGCACAACTGTCCTTTCCATAACCTTGTACTCTTTATTATATAAATTAATCATTTCTGGGTGTGTGGTTCAAGATAGAACACACCCTTTCATTCCTAATTCTTCTTCTCTGATTTGAACTAAGTTGACATGGTATCAGAGCAGGTTTTTTCAACCTGTTCTTGATTGAAATCTGTTTAGGCCTGTGAGATCAACCCATCTACTTCAATTTTGGATCTCGTAGGTTGTTGTACTGATCAGCATATCTCTGCTGTTCTTTCTCTGGAAGTTCGCCATCAGCAATAGTGTTTCTTCTCTTTCTCTCAATTGGCTACTTCAAACACTCTGAAACTTCAGATCTGAAGTCGCCTAGGTCAGATTTGTGTATATATATATATATATATATTTTAGTTCTGGTTCAGATTACTTTTGAAGGGTGTTTTTCCCTTCTTCTTGTTTGACGGTCCAGAAAACTTACCTTTTTAGGACTGTTATCAGTTCATAAACTTTGTGTGGCTGTTTTTTTATTGGGCTTTGTTTCCTCCTTGTGGTGTGTGATTATACACACATATTCCATCAAGTTTTGGTCTCTTTTGGACCTTCGGCTGCTCTACTTTCCTAGTTTTTTGTTTATTCATTGATGAAATGGGTATGGAGAAAAGGGATATTCTACCAGTAAAGTTCAATGGGACAAACTATGCCTTCTGGAAATTCCACTTCCAGTTCTATGTTGAGGGAAATGGCCTATGGGGATTTCTTGATGGTTCCACAAAACAACCTGATGAATCTGATTCCAAGGGTCTGAAACAGTGGAAGGTCGACAATGCCAAAGTAGTGTCTTGGCTTCTTGGCTCCGTTGAAATTGAGATTGCTATTCCAATGAGAAGTTATCGAACTGCTAGTGAGATGTTCACCTATATGGAAAAGGTGCACCAACAGTCCAACATCTCTCGTCAGTATCAGATTGAGACAGATTTTTTCTTACAGTCAGGGTGAGAAGAAAATACAGGAGTACTATGCTGGCTTTGGGAATTTGTGGACAGGATATGAATTAGTTCATATGGGTGAAAGCACTTCGGAATGTTGCATCAAAAATCTAAAAGAACATTTTGATAGGAGGAAGATCATGCATTTTCTGATGCATCTGAGACCTGAATATGAAATTGTAAGGTCCAACATTCTCAATGGGGGCACTCCTCCCACACTTGACACAATTTTGGGGGAGCTTCTCAAGGAGGAAACTAGACTCATTACTCAATCGACCTTGAGATCAAAATCTGATTCTAGAACAAAGCCTTTCTGATAAATAAATCCAAGCCCAAGAAGGACTTGTCCCGAGTACAGTGTTATGAATGTAAGGAATATGGACATGTTATCTCACACTGTCGGAAGAAAATTTTCTATACCTACTACAAACAACATGGGCATATTATTCCTGAATGTCCTACCCGGCCATCAAAGGGGAATGATTCAAGTTCTAAGAAGAGTCAACATAAGGCTTTCCAGACAGCAACTAAAGGTGCAAATACAGGGAGTACAGCTTCAGCAGGAATGGATGAAAATTCTAGAACTCTTACAGAAGAAAGAATGTGGCAGCTAGTATCCTCAGCTATTTCCTCTGCATTTTCAGCTATCGGTCTTTCGAGTGAGTCATCCTATTTTTATTCCTCTCCTAGTCACTTATGGATCATTGATTCCGGGGACTCTAATCATATGACAGGGGCACACACTGGTCAATCCATTAAACCCAAATCTTTGAAGAAACATACTATTACTGCTAATGGAGAGAAATTGGATATTGTTGGTTGCAATTATTTGTCTTTGACTACACTTGTCAATTCTTGCTTTCATCTACCTAAAACTTTCTTTGTTCCTAAACTTACAACCAATTTGATCTCAGTCGGTCAGCTAGTTGAGGATGGTAACATTGTTTCCTTTTCCCATGATGGTTGTTTGACACAGCACCAACGCACTGGGACGATGAAAGGGAAGGGGCATAGACTGGGTTGCCTATTTGCCTTGGAATTTGAAAAGACACCGGTACCTTAATCCACATCTTGTTTGAAAAAATAATGTATGGCACTTGTGGAATAGGCGACTTGATCACCCCTATGCAAATAAACTTGAGTCTTTGTTTCGTGATGGTTTTTTGTCTTCTAAAGCTACTTCTTTTAATAATGTTGACAAGGCTTGCATTTCTTGTTGCTCGAGTAAAAGCCATGTTTTAACTTTTCCTTCAATTGTTGAACATGCTTCTGTTCCTTTTAAAATAGTACATAGTGATGTTTGTTTGTCTCCAGTTGTTTCCAGGTTGGGATAAAAATATTTTGTTATGGCTGTCCCGCATTGGAAAGAAGCCATGGATACTAAGCTCCAAGCTCTTATTGATAATGATACTTGGGATATGGTTCCTGCCCCTCCAGATGCCCCTCGTATTGGAAGCAAATGGGTATATTCAGTGAAACTTAAATCTGATGGGAGCCTTAATAGATACAAGGCATGTTTGGTGGCACAAGGGTATAAGTAGGAGTACGGGATAGATTATGATGAGACATTTGTCCCTGTAGCTAAGATGACCATTGTTCGTCTATTGTTGGCTATATCTGCAATTAAACACTGGGAGATTCATCAGATGGATGTCAAAAATGCTTTCTTACACGGGGACCTCAAGGAAACTATTTATATGAAGCCTCCACTGGGATACTATGATAGTTATCCCTGGTGTGTCAACTTAAAATGTCTTTGTAAGGTCTTAAACAAGCCCCCGGGGTCGGGGCATGGTTTGAGAAATTTCATTCAGTGATTACAGATGCAGAATTTATCCAGAGCTCTTCAGATTATTAATTGTTCATATCAAGGCGTCCCCAAGGAATTACATTATTACTTCTGTATGCGGATGACACTCTTATTACCGGTGATGATAGTCAAGGTATTTCCTTTCTGAAACAGCTTCTCAGTCAGTCTTTCAAGATGAAAAACCTTGGTCATCTCACTTATTTCTTGGGTTAAGAAGTTACTCACTCTTCCCGTGGGCATTTTGTTAATCAACACAAGTATGTGATGAACCTCGTGAAATCTGCAAACCTGAGTGATGACAAACAGGTTGACACACCTCTTGAGATGAATCTGAAACTTTCGAAGGATGACGAGGACCCCCTAGTAGATGCCACACTTTATCGACAACTTGTCGGTAGTCTAATCTACCTCACCATGACACATCCAGATATCTCTTATGTTGTCCAAGTGGTCAGTTAGTTTGTCTCTTCTCCTCGACAACCGCACATGACTGCAGTCCTTCATATTATCAGATACATTCGTGGAACACTTTCACATGACATTTCCTTTCCTGCATCTCCTTCACTTAGCTTATCCGCATATGCAGATGTTGATTGGGCAAGATGCCCGGATACTAGACGCTCCACTACTAGTTGGTGTGTTTTTCTTGGTGACTCTCTTATATCTTGGAAACAAGGTTCAAAGTATCAATACATATTGGCCCGTACTGTGTCAATGACGCCCTTCTAGGGGTTGTATTGGGTCAGGCACTGATTCAGAGGGTAGTCGGGCCTTAAACCGACCCCTCTAAACCGGTTTCAAAAAAAATAAGTAAAACCTAAAGAAAACTACCAATACAGTCCAATACGCCTCTACCAGTGTATCGGGCGTATTGATATTTTTAACCTTGCCTAGAAGTGTAAAAGGCAACTGACTGTTTCCAAGTCCTCTACCGAGGCTGAGTATAGGGCTATGCCCTCTGTCTGTAGTGAGATTATATGGCTAAGAGCCCTCCTTGAGGACCCTGGCATCTCCTTGTTATCTTCAGTTCCTATTTATGTTGATAATGTGAGTGCTATCAAGATTGCATCCAACCATATCTTCCATGAGCGAACCAAACATATAGAGGTTGATTGTCACTTCATTAGAGATGTGTTTTCTATTGGACACATATCTCTGTCGCACGTGTCTTCTGCCCTACAACTTGCTGACTTATTCACGAAGGCTATGACTCGTGCTCGCGACCATTTTCTAGTTGACAAACTGATGCTCGTACCTCAGCATCAGTTTTAGTTGGGTGTAGAGACTGATTTATGTCTCTTACATCTTCTTTCCTGTTTTGGCTCTTGGGACCACTCTTTTATGTTGTAATTTATGTACACTATTTTTTGTTTTATTCTTTCTTGTAAGAGAAGGGCACAACTGTCCTTTCCATAACCTTGTACTCTTTATTATATAAGCTAATCATTTCTGGGCATGTGGTTCAAGATAGAACACACCCTTTCATTTCAAGTTCTTCATCTCTGATTTGAACTAAGTTGGCATTATCTTCATCTCTTTGAATAAGAATTTCTTGGTTTCCAATCTAATCTCCTTCTTCCATCTGCCTTCTGGTTCAAACTTCCCTTGTCACTCCAATTTCTTAGTAGTCTCCATTGCTTAAAAACTTAAAGAGAAGATATAGAGTGAAAGTAGAGAAGGAAAACCCAAAATCACCCAATAGGCACCTAGAAGCAATTTAGATATTATCCAAAATCAAGTCTAGTTACATGGCCTAAACCATTGAAAGGCCCACTACAAACATTGACGTTGAAAAACACCATTAAAATAAAATCATGAGCATGGAATAGTTAAAATTTATAGAACATAAAAATATAAATATATACCCGTTCTAGAGGAAGAAAAAATGCAGAAGCACTTGATGATTTGCTGCCAGCATTCAATGCTACTGCCCTTCCTTGCCAATCAATGACAGGTGAACCACTTGAACCTCCTTTAGTCCCTGATGCAGCCTGGTGGAGATGGATAAAAGGAAAATGAAAACAAGAAAACATAAACCAATGAAAAAAAAGCATGTATATGGGCCTTGAAACTTGCCTCAAGCTGAGCCTCAAGGTTCAATCTATGAGACCCTTGCAATGCATCATAAACAAGAAAACATATGCAGCATCGTCCAAAAATAGAGTTCCACATGGCCAAAATAAATGAAAACAATAAGCTTTTTCCTATTTTTTAATGAGATTAAAATAAGTAGATAAAACTTCAACTTTTATATTTAAAATATCTCTTCCCTTTAAACACTTTAGGTTCTGTTACAAAGTGAGACAGTCTTCCGGTCAGAGTGCACAAATGAAAAAAGAATCACAGATTTTTTAGAATCCTTTTCTTTGTCCCTGTTACCAAGCATTTCATTTGGAAGACAATACAAACAAATTGACTTGGTTCTACACTTTGTAAGGTATAAAGGATTGGTTTAGAGTAAATTATTTGATTATGTTGGCAAGCTAGACATAACTAATATCTATGCTCAGCCTGAGGGGGATGTTGAGAAAGGTAGTTATACAATTAAAGGACTTTCTCTTCTTTCTCATTTTCTTATTAGGGGTAATATTACATTTATACCTATCATACTCTAAAGAAGTGGATAAGGGTAGACTACCAAGATTAGCCTTGTTTGGTTATTTCCTTCTATCCTCTTCTTCTATTCTTTTCTCCTCTCCTTTCTCTTATTCTTCTTGATTGATCATTGCTCTCATAACTGACAGCAATGCATTTTGGTAACCTTCCTTATCAATAACAATTTTAGATTCCTTTGAAGAGAGAGATCCCAAAATGTATTCCCCACCCCCAACCCCAACATAAGTGCACTCCACAAAACACTATTCTGATTATCTAAGATTAGATAAAATGACTATCCTACCTTACCTCTTTAAATATCTCAAAGAGGGAGTCCAAATTGGTCATCTTTACTATATAATGTAGATAGATACTTGCCTTGGCTTCGTGCCTAATCCACCATGCAAAATATCTAATTAATCTATTTTCCCCTCTCCTCTCACTTATTTTCCACCTTTGTCACTATTCAGCTCTCTCTTGCACATGCATTTACATGGACCACTCAACTGGTTCCCATAAGGATTTTAAATCCACTCCAATCAATCAATTTCACCCCTTTTAAATCCTTCATATCCACCTCTCATCTAATGGCTCCTAAGTAAATGAAATATGCCTCTCTTAAAATATCCCATGTTTGGAAAGTTCTAACCTTACAGGATTGGGTGACTCACACACGCCAAAACCAAATCCTTGCACGAGGGTCTTAAACTCAAAGAAGCCTTAGGCTGCAACAGGCAGACAATATAACTCAAGGTTGTTATTGGTTAGTTCAAAGATAGATGTGATAACTAGATATTCTTCAACTGCATTAAAGAGCCTAGAGCTTTGCCATCCAGAATGAGCCAATTCAGAGGTCTCGAAACTCCCAACAGATGGTCTTGCAAGTACAACTTTGTAGAGAATGGAACTATGGCTTTTTCAAAGGATAGCTCTCTTTTTTTCATTGGTCATATTGTATTTTCTGTTTGCTTGGTTTTCTCAATCGAAGAGCTTCTTGTATATATATAGGTTTAACACAAGGTTTTAAAAAATGACCTGGAAATGGAACTGCTGTGGCCACCAGTTCCTGGGTCAGCGGTTCGACCTGGATGGTCGAACGGTTCAGATGGTTTGACTAGATTAGGGCAAATAATTGTGGTTGTCTTCCTTTTATGAGAAGAGAGGTGGTTATCAGCTGAGAAAGAAAGAATGAAAGAAAGGAAGGAAAGAAAGAAAAAGGAAGAAAAGAAAGGAAAAGAAAGGACAGGAAGGAGAGAAGGGAAGGAGGAGGAGGATGATGAGCAGGAGGATCCGGCGTTCACCAGTGATGGTGACGGTGATGGCAACAGCAAGGGCAACAGAGATGGCAGCGACAACAGAAGCGCAGCAGGAAGTTGACATCCATTCTCTCTCTCTCTCTCTCTCTCTCTCTCTCTCTCTCGATCTGAGAACTGAGATCTCTCCGCTCCAATCTTTTTTCTGGCATCTCTCCCTCTAGGATCTCAGTGATCTCTGATATGAGAGTCTATCTCCATCTTTCAACATCCTTTTTGTTATTAAACGGTGAACCGCAGTCCGGGTCAGCGGTTCTTTGACCAAATCAACGATTTTTGACCCAGGAATAGATCAAGGGTGAAATAAAACCGGTTGCCTGGACGGTTTCCAGGCCAAACGGTCCGACCGTCTGGGTCAATGATGGTTCAAAAACACTGGTTTTACCTGATTAGTGACAAAAAAATGTCACTTATGAACTCAAACACTAATATCCACCTATCCAAATGCAGGATGAATGTTTTTCTTCTAATAGATGCCAGGACCATTCAATCACTAATTGCATAAAGCTTCCTTCTTTCTTTGTCTTCCACATGACCAGTGATACTTGTTCTTCATACCAATGGAAGACTGAGAGTGGGAAAAGGAAAACTTCCATAGACAGGAAAGGGAACAAAATGGATTTCAAATTTTGTATCTGGTTCCTTAAAGATTGCATAATACATGCATACATGCAACATATATATGCATATGTACATACATATATGTATGAGTCTCTAACTTACAAAATCTGTTTCTTCTTAGTTTAAGTTTCATGTTAAAGAGAAAAGCGTGAAAAGGAAATCATATGCAGAAAGCCAAATCAAATTCTTACCGGTTCAAATCAGCCTAAACCAAAATTTGCCCCAATTACTAATGCATATTCACAACATAAAGCTTGCATGCATGCATATGTACATCTTGCATCAACAAGTGAGCTATTTTTCAAGAGTTTGGACTGCCCTAGATGGTCCCAATTCCCAAAGCTTAAAACTATATGTTGTATCCTTTTTAACGCAATTGTTTTTTTTTTCTTTTCTGGGATCAAACAAGATTTAAGAGAAAAATAAAGTTGAATATAAAGGTCAAGAGCCAAATGAGTGCATGTGCATCCACATGCATTCTTCAGAATGAAGAGTTCAGTTTACCATTTGAAGCTGAATAAGAAATTTAAGGTAAAGAAAAAAATTATAATAATTTGCTCGGTAAACCAGATGCTGAGACCTAGAATGACTTATAAGCAATAATCCAAACAAAGTGTACTAATTCAAATTCCATTTTTATTTATTAGTAGAACCTTAACATTATGCCACTTCCTCTTTCAAATCAGCTACTTACTTGCATGTAGAATGTATTGAAGTCATTGTATCCATCCCTGTAGGAAAAAGGAATCATCAATAACATAAATAATAGAAGATTTTCATAGGCTTAAAATTTTAGGCTGAAAAATCACTAGATTTTCATAAATAAAATATTTGAGATAAAAAAAAAAACATGGTAAACTTGATAAATCATCCACACTTAGTAACGCTAATTTCTGCATGTGATACTATCTGGTATGTTTTTTATCTTACAAGCATTAACATGACAGTTTTGATGAAAATGTCCACTTCTTAAAAAAAGAAATATATTGAAAATGTCAGAAAGTTCGTATCAATTTGTTGTAAAATTTTTATAACGTATTTGATGGTAATCTATAAAAATATTTGTTAATATTTTTTGAAATCATGAAAGCATACTTTCTTTTAAATAATTAAGCCTTTTTTGTAAAGGTAAAGTAAAATGGCTGCTTTCCTAAAGCAATGGTTGACTAGCCAAATGGTGTTGAAATGTATGCCCATGAGGGGCATTTTTGTCTTTCGGTATAGCCTTGTATTTCCCCTGTTAAGAATCACTTAACAGGGGCATTGTTGTAACATTACAATTTTTAAAACTGTGAATCAAGGTTCAAAGTATCGATACGATACGCCCTGTACCAGGCATATCGTATCGTATCTTTTGGTTTCGATACACCTATTTATAGGTGTTTCGGGACCCCCATTTATTTCAATAAAAAACACTTAAAAACATCTCCAAATATCAAATTTTGAAAAAAAAAAAAAGCATTGAGCGGTGAGTTTTTAGTACTGATATGCCCCTGCCGATACACGGGCATATCGATACTTTGGACCTTGCTGTGAATAACAACAGTTAGGTCAATGGGTGAGAAGTGGCTGGTTCGAATCTTCTTCCTCAAGACCCATTTTCTTACTTATCAAAAAAAAAGACCTATTTTCTCTCTCCTTTTGTTTTCTTCTGTACAAGATCTCTCTCTCTACCTTTTTTTCTTGCCTTTTTCTTGTGTTGTGACATGGTATCAGAGCTGTGAACACGACTGTCACTGTTCACACCTTTTTTGCACTCTAGAAGTTGAGAACTCTACCACTTTGAGACAAGGAGCTAAAAGGACTGATCACCTCTTAGGAAAAGTGGCTTTAATGCCTTGAGTTGGTCAGTTTAAGGTGCTAGTGATGGTGTACTAAACCCTTCTTTCCGCAGCCCTAGATGTAAGTACAGGAGTACAGGTATGTGTACTAAGTCCAGCTATTTTTTGACAATTTGTGGTGTGTAGTTTGATGTGTTGTGGTGTGGAAACTTATTTTATATGGTGTGGAGCTTTTTGGGACCCTACAAGTATTTGTGTGAGCTTTTTGTTGGATTCTAGAGATGAAAACCACTGCAGCAAGGTACTGTAGTAACCTTGTTGGGCTTGAAATTGATGTAGTGAGTGTTTCATCTTGTGGTTGATGTGTGTAGTAGTTTTTCCTGGCTGGTTGGTGTCTGATTCTACTTATGTCTGCTTCCAGTAGTAACTCCAAGTCTGATGTAGTGCAATCGGACCTTATGAACACCCAGTTAACTATCGTCATGCTCAAAGGTACTAATTATGTACCATGGGCTAAACCTATGGAAGTTGAAATATGTTAAGGAAGATCAACCCAAGAGTGGTCTGAAGGGTACAGTGAGTGGGTGCAGAAAAATGCTCAGACTATTACTGCCTTATGGAACAGTATGGAAAACAATATTAGTGTTAATCTTATGTTTTTGGACACCGCTAAGGAAATTTGGGAGCATGCCCGACAATTGTATTCAGGCAAGACAATGTAACAAGGATTTACCAACCTTATTAGGATTATTTCTCTCTTCAACAAGGTCGCAATAGTGTTGAAGAATTTTTTTTTTTTTTGATAAATAACAYCAATTCCATTAAAATAATGAATAGATACAAGAAGATCCCCTTAGAGGCATCAGGAGCAGCCTCTCCAAACAGCAAATACACAAACTACAACAGAGAAAACATGAATGTTGAAATTAAAACAATAGTTACAATTGTGCCCAGAACAATGTTTCCCTATTTATCCCTTGTTTTGCCAAGACATCAGCAAAAGCATTAGCGGATCTCCCAACCCATTGTACTGTTATAGACATATTTCTTGTCAGCCGTTTGAATTTCTTTAACTCATTTTTATAGCCCCAAGTGACATCCTCCGGATTAGTTAACCAGTCCACTACTGTCTTAGAGTCTCCTTCAATCAGAAGTTGCTCCACGCCCACTTCTTTTGCAAGAAGTATTCCTTGTATTGCAGCTAGCAGTTCTGCCCAGATAAAGTTCCCAACTCCTAAAGGGCCAGAGTAGATTAAGACAACCTCTCCAGCCTCATTCCTCARTACACCTCCCATCCCAGAGGGACCCGGATTACCCTGGCTACTCCCATCAAAATTCATCTTCAAAGAACCAAGAGGAGGGAGGACCCAGCTAGTCACTGCCCTTCCCTTGTAGGAGGAACAGCTTGCTACCAACTTCCAATCCTTCCAACAATCAGCAAAAGTAAAATGGTTAAATAATTCTAGTCTTTAACCAATGTAAAGTCCTTTAAGGTTTGACTGCTTCTTCCTTTTTCTTGGAAGATTCTAGCATTCCTTTCTTCCCGTACTATCCATAACAATGCTGCTCGTGAGCATCTCCACATTTTCCTTCCTCTTTTATGGGGCCAAGAGAAGAAAGAAGGGTTAAAGATTGTGCTTACTTCTGCTGGCATATCCCAACTAGACCCAAATAACTTTAACAAACTGACAAGAAATTAGTAAGTGGTATCCAGACTCACCAACGGATTTATAGAGAACACACCAGTGAGGAGACAAACAACTGTTGGGTCTTTTCCTTTGGAGTAGATCCCCTGTATTAACTCTTTCCAGAAAGGCTTCCCAATAGAAACTCCCAACCTTTGGAGGTATAGGTCGACACCACATTTCTTTAACAGGGAAAGATGATTCAACAGGAGGAGAGGGTAACAGTGCTTTGAAGAAAGAGGCACAAGTGTAGGAAGAACCCAAGGGAGTGAGTGTCCATATTCTGCTATCTGTCTTTGATGGCTCAATGAAGACCCCTTCAAGAATGGATAGTAAGGCTAAAGTACAAGCTAACACTGTGTCCCTGACATCTCTTCACATACTCAAGTTCCATCCAAACCCAGAAGGTGAATTAGAAGGAACAAGGAGGAGACTAGTTCATTTTTAAGGGTAGAAATAGCAAAAAGGCTTGGAAATTGATCTTTCAAAGAGGAATCCCCAACCCAAACCTGTTCCCAAAACTTAATGAGGTTACCTGAGTGCAAGTCATACCTGATCCATGGAGAGAACAATGGAAAGATGGCTTGAATAGCTTTCCAAGGAGAAGCTCTTGCAGTCCTGGCTAGAATTCCAGAATCCCATCCATTGTCTGTCAGCCCATGTATACTTCCCACTATCTTAACCCACAGTCTTTCTTTCTCCAATGAGGATCTCCACAGCCATTTCCCTAGTAATGCTAGGTTCCTATTCCTAATGTTCCCAATTCCCAAACCTCCCTCCTTTTTACCCCTACTAACCACCTCCCACCTGACACTATGGTCCTTCTTCTCCTCCCCCATCTCCTACAGAATATATCTCATTAGTTTTCCCAGCCTACTGGCCACCTTAGCCGGAATCTTAAAGACTGACAAGAAATAGACAAGAAGTTTAGCTAGAGTAAACCTAATTAAAGTGATTCTTCCTCCAAGAGACAAATAATTTTTCTTCCAGTTAGCAAGTCTCTTTTCAAATCTCTCCACAACAGGGGCCTAGAAATCACCTTTCTGAGGATTATCCCCCAAAGGTAAACCAAGATAATTTAAGGGCCAATTAGAAACTACACATCCCAAAATGTTTGCATACTCACCAATCTCCCCTTCCCCCATATTGACTCCAACTATACAACTTTTCTCAAAGTTCACCCTAAGATTTGACATTTGCTCAAAAAGTTGTATTGTGAGCTTCAAGTTTCTAATCCAATTGATATCCCCTCCACAAAACAGAATTGTGTCATCTGCAAATTGTAGCTGTGTAAGTGGTATATTAGCTCTTCACCTATCCTTCACTCTTCACCAATGGCATTGCCAATTGGGTCATCCTTCATTCTGTATTTTGAAGAAGTTAGTTCCCAGTTTGACATCAGTTTCTCAATTGGATTGTGAATCATGACAACTCAGCAAGCATCACAATAGAGTTACTTTTGTTCCCCGAGAGGACAAGTCATGAGTCCTTTTGATCTTGTTCACTTAGATGCTTGGGGTCCTAGTCGTGTGTCATTGTACAATGAATTTCGATATTTTGTAAACTTTATTGATGATCATTCACGAATGACATGGATATATTTAATGAAGAACATTCATAATTGTTCTCTATTTTTCTTTTTCTTTCATGCTGACATTTGCAATCAATTTAGTGTTTGTTTTGATAATGCAAAAGATTACTTTCATAGTTCTTTGCAAGCTTAATTTGTTCCTAAAACATACTAGAGTGATGTTGTTCTCACTTCATGCTTCTTGATCAATCACATGCCTACATCTGTCCTTGCTGGTGAGTCTCCCCTTTCTATCATATTCCCTTCAGGATCACCCTTTTCTCTCCCCTCCTTGTGTTTTCAAATGTGTTTGTTTAGTCCATAGATCGGGCCCTGGACACAAAAAACTTAAGTCCTAGTCGATGCAATGGGAATGATTTTTCTTTTTTCTTTTTGAGAGAGAGAAGGTAATTTTCTATCCAAAAGGGATTAAAGGAGGTCTCTTGAATCTCATTCAGCAGATGCTCAAACCACCACGGGCCCCTGCCAGGGTTGGAAACCCAGCCAATGACATTCCAAGAATCACCTTCCACCAAAAATAGCAATAAACTTGGCAAACCTCAGGCCAAAGAGAAGGGCTCTTCTTTCGGCTTCCAAAGAGTCTGCAAAGCTAATCGGCCCACTGAAAAACCCAAATCATGTAGTGAGAATGGGTCGAATGGGCCTTAACTTCTTTATCTCACTTAAGTTGTGTT